AAAATTATCTACTCTGGTCTATATGTAAAGGAGACGCTCTAATAGTCGACTGTCTCGAACTGTTAATAAATATGAAACATAGTTACTTCCCCGCGGTTTCACTCATTGTTCGGCGCCTATTGGTCGTAGCGTGATGTTTTATAGCCTACTAGCTTTTACCCGCGGCTTCGCTCGCGTCACAAAAGGATAAAAAGCCAATGTGACATTTACCAATACACACAGCGCCATCTATACCAATACTTTTGTTTTCCCTCGGGAATATAAAATTTTTCCGGGATAAAAAGTACCCTATTATTTAATCCGGACTTCTAACTTTACATCTGCAAAAATTCAAAGCAATCGGTTTAGTAGTTATGGCGTGAAAGCGGAACAAACAAACAAACAAACAAACTTACTTTCCGATTTATAATATTAGTAAGGATAGCCTTCCTCGACAAATGGACTATAAAACTCAAAAAGATTTTTTTAAATCGGTCCAGTACTTTCTGAGATTAGCGCGTTAAAACAAACTACAGGTTTCTATAATAGTATAAGTAATTATTATATTATCTCATTAGGTACGTACGGTTTACAATAGTACACTTTTTGAACAAAATCCTTTGGCGAACTCGCTATTCACCAGGCGTGTTCCCTTTGGTCGCTCGCGCCAAGTGCATGCGAATATCGCCTGATGATGGCCAACCGCTAACTTGGTCGATTGTATATAGGGTTCTTTCGACAAGCCTATTAAATACGCCTATATTAGGTACGTAAAGTATTGGATAAATTACACCACTTACGTATGCACTCTCTGCTCCCTGTCATAACCCGATGCAATTTAACCGGAGAGAGGTTAAGCGCAGGTCCAATTGATTTATATTAAGTACATGCTTTCAAAGCGCAGAGATAAGTGTGACTCATTTTTTTTTTTCGATCAGGTTAGGTACTGACTCCTGCAGCATTACCTTTTCAGACCAAAATCTATCTCTATACGACACGTTCCAGGTCGTACAGTAGTTTTTACGTCAACATGTATCAGTTATACATCCCTACGAACATACGCATTTCTAATATTAGAAAGATAGACATATTTTCCTCATGACCAAAATTAAGATATTATTCTCCCTCGTCACTTTATTCAAAAGTATACCGACTCTGTTACGCTATAAGGTTTATTTTCCCATAAACAGTAAAGAGACGTCGTATTCTTGAAATAAAGCTGAAATCAATATATTCTTTTGGCTTTCAGTATCTGCTCTCATCAGAGCTGACCTCAAGTATTGATTTCGATATTTTTAGCTGCCTTTTGTCTGGTTCTTTTATTAGATAGTGTATATCTCATTTCATACTCTGTTTTCTTTGTAATATGATATGTTTTTCTTCGAAGGAGACGGCTTTGTTACTTGTGTTATTAATCTTAGGTGATAGAGGTGACTCACTAATGTCCTAACTAGCTAGGTATTATTAATTTAGGTAGCGTAAATATTTATGATAGAAAGGTCTGTATCTGTGATCCAAAAGATAGTGATTTATATCTTTTGGATCACTTTTCTCCACCTCCTTAAGGTGCGAGAATTAACCTTTTGTCTGTCGATATATGAAACACTGTGAAACACAATAGAAAACACATTCTGTCGCGCGTTGATTTGAGTTCCGACACTAAATGTTAAACCATCCGAAACTTGAATTCGATCTAAGCTGTTCCATGAGACAATAATAAAGAAATGTGGAAAAAACTACAATAAGTGCCTACTCAATCCTTAGGACAAATCCATATCCCTTCAATAAAGAACCTCATGAGCAACATTCACGCTTACCACCATCACACCATCGCGGCAGTTAACAACATGACGTTATACTTTTACCATGTTATTCATTTAGATTTTTTATTCACATGTGTGCAGTTAAACGATCCACATGACACAGTGACGTCAATGAATGGTGCAATTAGTCATCTACACCAAAATAGGTCTGCGATTACATTAGCAAGTACCCCAATCTGTCTTTACAATATATTTTCAACTTTATTGCAATACGTTTAAGTTCAAAATCTGATACTTGGAGTGGTGGTTAAACTGTATTGTATACCTACAGTTTAAGATGCATAATGGCATCACTTCCTTGTAGGGAGCAATATTTGCATTTATACTATTGTACTGCGTTCTACAGCTAGAACTAATTCCAGTTTTTTCTAGCTCCGATGATACATATACCTCGTCGTCGTCAGGCAGTTAACTCTTGTCTCCTCTTGGGGTAATAAAGCAGAGAGAATGGAACTTACCACTTACGCTTCATATACAATCGTCTATCTTTTCTTGCATGATCATCGATCAGTCTCCATTTTCAGTCAATATATTGGCAATCTTACTTGCAACCACGTTATTTGTTAATTATTATATTTTCGGCTTAATCACGGACTTCTTTGACGAGGAACTCGACTAGTTTCAAGCCATGCTAGAGGCTCGAGACACCTCTTTTGTTATTCTTAGTTTTTTTCTACTATCGCGAGACTGGAACCTATTCTAATAGTTTTCGGTCACTTAACTCCTATACACATGACATCTGGCAATCTTAGGGTTTATAGCAGATCCCCCTTCAGTGGCCTTTTGTTCAATAGTGGACGAATTCCCTTTGATGATGATGATGATTATGGCTCTCCTTTCATTTTGTCAATCTTCCTCGACTATTCGAAGGATTTCTTTTTTTAGAAAAATATTGTTGATATATTAGGTTCGCGAGATGTTATTTCCAGAATGAACGTGAAGTTGAATAAAAAATTGCATAGGTATAATAGCTGAGTCTATTTATATACGTATTCATGCCCTTCAAATGACTGGCTGAAATGTTTTTGTAACTGAATGATTGAAATTGTATTCTGTGTTGAATTTTAATATGATTTTTATTCGAACGTGTCTGTTTTGTATGACTAATGGCTAGGGATCGATCATCGATAGCGTTACTTCTGAATACGTGATTTGTTTTCCAGCATTCCTGTCTTGGATCACGATCTTCCACTTTTCATCTCTTTTTGTTTTAAGCATCCCTGATCCACCACTACCCACGATTTAACTGACATAATCAACCACACAACTTGTGTTCTGGTTGTTTTGACAAAATTCTGACCGCCATTAAAATCGTCATAACATAACACATAAAGATAGGCATTTATTTGGATAAACAATTGTGTATTGTAACAGATTGTAAGGAAATTGTGCTTAGAGGATGACAATTAATTTTACTCGTAATTATTATGATGAGAAAGACGGTGCTTATACCCTGGTTTTTGCTTGTCACTTAAAATAATCTGCGTAATGTTTTATTATGTAAAAAGTACTTGAGACCGTTATTTTATTATTACCTGTACTTGTAATTGGTATTGTATTGTTGATAATAATAATAAATTATTATCAACAATACAATACCAATACCAATTTTTTTTTTTGTTCCTAGTAGTATAAGATATGGAGTGTACAATCAATCCGAAATAAAGAATTTATTATTATTATTATTATTATTAATAACATTTTCAATGTAGTCAAGCAATAAAACTCCGCTGAAATTACCAATTTATGAAATGTAAATTGTATTTGATAATGGTTTTGTTTCTATTTGGTTTTATAGAAATTAAGTTCTTAGTTTTATATTCACACTCAATGTAATTTCATTATTTTTTTTTATCGTATTCTGAATACAAATACGAACTGTAGGTTTTTTAGGTAGGAGAATGTCTTTACCATCTAGTAATTAATTCTTAATGTACGTGAGCCTTATAATGACAGCAGAGTGGAATACATTTGTCTTCATCCCTACTTCCAACGCTTCCTAAGGGTATCCTAAGAGCCTATTAACCCTTTGGGTTTTTTTTAAGGGGGAAAATCATCGAATGACTGCTCCCGTCTGGGTGAGGCGGGAGGGGGAGTGTCAGACTCGTACTGACTTAAAACCACCCCTTTCCTTCTCCTGCACGTCGAGCCGGAGCCCCCAGTTACCCGTTAGGTCCTCCGCGACCCTTTGAGTACCGTCATTATAGACAATTAAAGAACAATAGGTTGCGGTCACCGGTGTCCTCGCGGTGTTTGATAGTTTAAGGGACAAATTTGACAGAGACCGGGCAACAGCACTCCTTGATAAACCTCAGCCTTTTGAACTCTAACCCGCCTGCCAAGTATGGAGAGGCAAACCAGTCTAAAGTAATGAGGATGCCTTGAGCTAGGAGTGAACTACAAACTACTAAGATGATGTCGATCTCATATGATCCTACCTGAAACCTCTCTATTTACTGCCAAGAATGATCCTTCATAGAAACATTGAAACATTAAACCATGTGTACCTACGTGGTACCTACTTAGCCAATTACCTTATTAAGGTTTGTCTAACAGTTGCGCAGTTGTACCTTATGAAGAACATGTATCTTCTAACTTGTCAGTGTATATTACATTGTCACAAAAACAGTTTAACACATCTCAACGACGCTAATGTATTCAAAATTGATCTTGGAGGTGGAATACAGTTTTAAGTGTGATCGGAAAAACCATCACGAATTGTAAACAGTGGCACGTTTGGGTTTACCCATAATTTTCGGGATATTCCGTTGATATTACCAATTTGCAGTGCATTAAAATTTGGGAGCATTAAAAAGAATAGATTTTTTGCTACACTTACCACCAGCTAACACTGAGAATCTCAGGCCTTGCTCATTGGGGGACTCTAATTATAAATAGGTACTACGATCCTTTCATACTTGTTTAGCTTTTTAATCAGACGTCTAGTCAGCTACATCATGTTATACGTTGATTTAGGGCCAATTTTTCAATCAGCAGGTTAATTCTTAACTGCAGAATAAAATTGACGTTTGACAGTTTTCAGTATGGAAGATTATCAAATATTCAAAGTTATTCCTAAGTTAAAATTTATCTGGCATTGGTAAAATCGGCCCTTAATGTTTTTTTGTATATTTGTAATTTCTTTTCTATGTATTCCATTTTAAAATATCCTTAACTCAGCATTTTTAACACCAACACCGCGAACATTGGAGTTGTTTGTGGAATCGTTGCTCAGCAAAGCGATGCAGGTGACGATGGCGAGGAATGCGAAGACGCTCAGCCCTTCGCATGTGAAGCAGTGCATTCTAGCCGAGTCCAAGTTTGACTTCTTACGGGATCTGGTAAGTTTTGTGTTCTTTAATAGTCTCATTTATCAGCTCTTATCGGTCCCTTACTAGAGTATACAACATAGAACTGCTAGTGCCAACGTCACTGATTAAGTATCACTCCTGGAATTGTTTGGAATGTGGTATAGGGTAATTGAGATCTTTTTGTCTTATAGTAAATGTGGTATGTAAAATTAATAATCTGATCTTTTAAACTTGACGGAACTTGACGGGCATGCGGCAATGCTAGTGATCCTTAAATTGAATTTTGACTGCACGGTTTGTGCGGTTGCTGGGCAACCGGCTGCCGTGCAACGTGTCGCGGGTTCGATTCCCACACGGAACAACACTTTGTGTGATCCACAAATTGTTTTTTCGGGTCTGGGTGTCATTGTGTATGCGAACTTGTATGTTTGTAAACGCACCCACGACACAGGAGGAAATCCTAATGTGGGGCAACGTTTTTTAAAAAAAATTGACACTAAAAAGCTTATGGAAGGAGATTCAAAGGGAACAATGATGAAAGAATTTCAAATTATCGAGGTTAGTTGAAAGGAGGTTATATAATACATTTTAATTAAGCGTCAGAAAACTAACATCCGAATGCGGAATAAAAAGTACAATATAAAGGTCTATGACTCCGTTGCGAAACCCAAGGCAAGCAAAAGGTGCCATGACAAAATTATATTAATTAAAAAGTTTTGTAAGAAATTATTTAAATTCGTTCGTAACAGAGCCCGTATAAGATAAGAAGTAGAATATTTCTCGGAAATACTTTGCCTCAGTTGTCCTAACTTTGTAAGTTTTAATTTATGAAACTGTTGGCTAATCCTGATGCCAATTAAAGCGTCTATTTCTTAAGTTTTAACGGCAAAAATCACTGAAATCTTTTTCGGAATGAGAGATTACGTATAGTCTTACAGCAGAGGAAAGGATCGTCTTCAAAATATATTTTTTCTATCATAAAATTATCCATTATTCATAGTTATTCGTTATCCATATTTCTCTCTTCCGACTGGCTGGTCTCTAGCGAATAATGTTTTGTGTTTCGATTCCAGGTAAAGAATATCCCCGATGTGTCAGCGGCGGAAGAAAAAGAAATGATGAGCGCTGAAAGTTCACCAAATTCTTCTAGGTAATCACTTTTATATTGCGGTACAAATTATTTAATAGATTATACTAACTTTATACTTTTATATTAAAGTTTGAAATCAAATAAAAATAATAAAGTTTGGCGTAAATATTACCTATTTATGTTGTAAGTTCTATGTAGTAGGGGTCGAGCCTATTTTCAACCACCAATCGGTATTTCACATGCCGTGCCGAAAAAACTTAATATATTACCAGACTCAGGTTTATCCGAGACACCATTCTTTGAAACTAAGCGAATTTAAACTTGGTCATACAAAATCTGCCTTTACTTTGCATCTTATTTTCATCTGTAATTTCTACACCGGATCGACCTATTAGGACCTTTTATTCTAATCTTGTTGAGACCCCTGCCGCTCTGCCCCATCCGCTGTCACATTTATAGTCACTTAAATAAGGATCGCGTGGTAAAAATATATCTATTATTATTAAAATGTTCCTATGATCAGCCATTTCTGGTGGAAATTTCCACATTAAAACGGTCATAGTTTTAAGACCAATAAAAGTATGAAGAAGCTCCTATGCTATTACCGTCTTTTATATAATTTACATAGCACAAAGTAGGAGTTTGTTAATTGACCACGCTAACTGTAGTGGCAACCTTGGAGCTGCTTAATTGCTGGGCTTACCTTTATTGCTGTAAATTACATACTACGTATAGTATGATGTTTGTTAACGCACCCACGATATAACAGAAAATCGTAGTATGGGGCAATGTTGTTTAAGTGTCATCATCTGCGCTGCTCCAATTTCTCAAGGTCCTATTATTTTCTTTAGATTTTCAGAAATGACGGGTCCACCTCGAAGAATAGCAAGGGAAGACTCGAACAGCTCAAGCAGTTGTGACGTCAAAATAGTACCTCTACAGCCTCCACCGAACCTCAAACGAGCGCTGTCCACAGAAACAGAGCTACCCAACAAACATGTGAGGACGGAAACCGTAACGTCGACCTCACTAGACACAGCCATAGACCTTTCAAAGAAGTCCACAGAAGAGAAACCGGTGGTAACCGCGAATTTTTACCAAGAGACGTTGTTAACAGACGAAATGCAGCATAGGAGTGTGATCAAACTCAACCCCACGTACTCAAGCCCTCAGCCTTCCACGAGCTACACGCCCGAACTTCCTAAAATTGATGTGCCAAAGCCAGCCGTCATAGAAAAATCAGTAGCACCTAGGACCCCCGTCACACCAGTAACGCCTATCCTAAATATAGACTTTACAAAAAGTCTAGCGAAACCAGAAATTAAATTGTTAGATACCGCGGCAGTCGCTGCTTTACCTAAGAAAGAGACAATACGACAAATTCATAGGCAGAACTCAAAAACGGTTAGGCCCGAAGTGAAGAAGATTGAAATTAAACCCGTGCAACCGCACGTTGACATAGACAGTTTAAATTCTGGTAATCTACAGATAGATGAAGATTATGATACCTGAGTATGTATGTAAGGTTGTTTTTTGTATTAAGTTGTTTTGGCGCGATATTTTTCATCCGTAGTCGATGTAGTAATTTGTAAGTGTTAATTTTTGTAATTTTGTGCAGAGTTGTCTGTGGTTAAACTATGAATTGCCTTCTCCGTCGGTTCTTCTAGCGTAGACGCAGCTTTATATGGAGTTTTGTACTAAAGTAAAAATGATTTTTTTGCTGTGGTCTGCAACCATATAACCGTTGGTCATTGCCGTAGAATTACTGTAGTCTATGGTATACATTTTTTTTTCTTATCCCATCACAGGCAACTGTGTGCATCAATATATAAAATAATTTGATTGTAATTCCGTGTGTCAAAGCACTAAAGTTTGATTTTAGTCAAGAACACGGTATCGAATATTTTGTGTAATATATTTCTAAGTTTTTTTTTTGTAATAATAATAATTTGAATGTGGTAATTATTTTGAACAAATACTATAGTCAGAATTTTAATTAGATTCCAGATTTGACAATAGCTACTGTCATTTTGTGAAATAATGATACCACATATAATAGTGTAGTGATGGACACAAAAATCGATAAACAATCAGTGTGTGTGTTTTATAATAAATGTTACAGAAAGTGACAGGATAGCGATAGCGATGACGGCGACAATTTATAAAATAACTTATTACCATAATCCATCTATCTGTTTTATTTGTCATTTTCCTTCATGATTAAATTTTTTTAGTTATTTCACATACAATTATAAAAGAAAAGTCTCAGATCGTTAAGTAATCGTCAAAACTAAATTATCGGTCAGAAATATTTAATTTCCTGATCCTGATGAGTTTACGAGAGTAAAATTATAAACGAGAAGAATCGATCCAGAAATATTGCATTTCCATATCGAATAATTTCGCAACGTCACTATTTAGTACTTGTCATAACGTTGCAACACTGAAATTGTCAAAACTGGAATCGAATTAAAATTCCGAGTATACATGAATGTATTTAAATTTATTTTCTTACGGGTGATAAATATCGCTGTCCAGTCACGTTGTTTACCAATTTAGTTTTATGAATGGTAAGTTTTTCAAAATGTAATATTTTTTTGTGATTATTGTATTTGTGGTATTCGTTAATGTTTGAATTTTCTAACTTGATTCGAAGGGTAACATTTTGATTTAAATTCGGTATTTTCTAGCCGTTTAACATTGGGATTTCATTTCAATTTAAAAATATTCAACAATCCTTTTCAAATCCCAGTGACAGTTAAAAAATGTTGCCAGTACTGAAAAATGTTGCAAGCTCAAAAAATATCCCGAAAATTAGTAACATTAACAAATACCTGAAATACAAGATAAATGAATTGACGTTTGTTTTTATGTCAGAATGTAATTGAGATTGTTTATTCTAGAATCACATTATGTCTAACGTATTGTTTTAATGTATGTAATATATTATTTCTTGTATGTGAGCTTGAATAATGAAACGATGACATTAAAATGGGACTGTTAAGTAATTTATGTGTAGTTTGAATGAAGAATGTTGGTAAATGATTGAGTTTTGATTTGGTAATGTGGTAGCTTAACATGGATTTATGAAAGTTTATATTTGTATTGATTTTTTTAAGTATGAAGTACCAATAATGTTACTATTTCAGTCTTATGAAGCCTTTCAAATGTCATTTTCTTGACAATTTTTGTTTATGACTACCTCATTAGTTGAGTGATTAGAATTACTAAGATTTTTATAATAACTATAGTGAGACATACTAAATTAAGTAAAATCTCTGGTTACTCACGTGAACATACTGAGAAAAGCTCTACTAGTTTCGAACAGAGGGGTTCTTCCTCATGAGCAGCGTGCGCGGTCGGCGCGACGTCGCCGCGACCTTTTCTCACTATATTCACGTTAGTAACCTGCGATTTTACTTAATTAAGCACTAAAGATTTACAAGATATTATTGGATTATATAATTAGTCCTTAAAATAGTAGGACATAAATTCCATTTCAGCTTGACGCTATAATTTTTCTTATGATAATTAGATAATTGGGTTAAGCTACCAACATTGCTGAATTTAAACATTACTTTCGAAGAGCTGGAACAAGAAAAAGAATGTAAATAAAGAAATAAAATGATGACAAAACTGAAAGGTTTTTGCTTACCATGTCTCGGAGTTGTTAACGGATGGAGTGCGCGTAAAATGGAAACAAACTCAATTTTTTTAATAAAATTCTCGCTTACTCACGTAATTATGTTAAGAGGTACTTGACTAGTTTCAAGCCACAGTAAGGGCTTATAGCCAAAAGCAGTGGGCTGCGCATGCACAATGCTTGCCGTATCGTTCGTCGCGGAACGTCGTTTTGACTATGAGCCTCTAGCGTGGATTGAAATTATTCTAGTTACCTCGTAAAACAGTTTCGGTAGTAAAGCAATAAACATAATCCAATTTAAGGTCAATTTACTCACCTAATATGCATTTTTATGAAGAAAAAACAATCACGTTTTTCATATATGTAGTTGACTCAGGACGTTAGTATTTGAGGTAGATTTAATCGTTATAATAGTAACGTAATTCAATGTACCCAGTTAGTCTTTTTAGCACTCCATTTGTTAGCTAATCTGGTGTATATAGAATATTCTAGAATTAAATACGGGATTGTTTAGAGTTAGACGCATGCAAAAAGCGAAATGTCAGCCAGTAGTTTGCAATGAGGAAGATAGAATGGCCAAAATATTTTGTAGGTGACTTATCGACATCAGGGGGCTAGCCAGTCAACATTATTGCTTCAGTCAACATGTCTAATAATGTTGATTATTCGTCTATTTTTTGTTGATGTTATGTAAATGTAACATCCATACAAATAAGTTTTAAAACATGAAAGTCATAAGGAACTTGTTATTTGAACAACGAAATAAAAGTCCTCGCAATAGAGTTTCTTCAATCATCGACCATCAGTCTATACCTACTGCGGAAAAACTTCAAAAGACGCCTAGAAGTGGGATTCCTCCCTCAATTGAACCACTTTGGTGGCCACCATCAGTACTGAAGGGTACCGGATCCCCTGAATAAACTGGCAACCCTGATGAACATAAATGATATTCGAACGTCATTACTCCTCTTCCTCGTTATTGCAAGTCGGAAGTTCGGAACAGTCATTAGATGCCTCTCTAATGTAAGTAATGGAGGAATTTTGTTAATTATAAACAACGATTACCAGTTTATTTTAACCAGAATTAGGGAGTATTTAATCCAAGCAGTTATACTGAAAATTACCTTCCATAGTTGATTGCTCTCCAAGGTTTATGGTCAACAGTTCACTTTATAAACTAGTAGTACGAAGTACCATAGAAATATTAAAAAAAAGAAGTGGCAAGGGGGCGTGTCCGTGACGCTCGCAATTGAGCGTTCCGCTCAATGTAGGAAATTATGGCCGTCAGCGCGAGTTAGTCTGTTCTGTGTCACCCGCGATCGCACAACAAACGATAAAATACCGCATTGTGCAGTGGTTTCGTGCAGAAATAGAAGTCAAAACATTATTATATCTATGAGTAGAACCTACTTAGTAAATTCAAGCCCTTCTCACAGTAAATGGGTAGCCTTATTATAACTTACGGCCAGGTTACAGAGAGGCACCGAGAAACGCGTTGCAGTTGGGTAACTGCTCAAGAGTAGCTGCGGCACCAAAAAAAATAGGAATGCCTATGAAGTGCTTGCCTAGGGTTGAGAGCGCTCTGGGTTTAATTTGCTTCTAGGTTTCTCTAACCTAAGTAGGTTCATCTGTAACACCAGACTTCATGAATGCGTTGCCTACCTTGTTATTTAGGAAAATACTTACCTGCGCTTTTTTAAGCATCATGTCCTGCTGTAATTCGCGTGGAAACAGACAGTTTTATGAGGTGGCATAACTTAATCACATGGGAGTAGGTACAAATTAAGGTAAGGTAGGACTTACTGCTAATTTTATTCGGATTGGGTGCCTATGTCTAGTGTGAATACTGTTTATCTCTAGACTTTTTTCCTATTATAATCGGATACTAATATACTTAACCGACAAAAGTTGTGCAGTTTCATCCAAACAAAACGGAATGTCGAATGTCGTAGCCAAAGTAAAAGACGTAGAGGGATCAGATCCTTTGTGGCATAATATTTTTTTCGGAGGGATCTTTCAAAAGCTGCCAAACTTTAGGGGTGAATGACGAGAGAGTCTGCGATACCTACTTCACTAAAACTAGCCCGGTGACCATAATCAGAACCTACGAGAGGCACTGGCAGTTACGGCATATTCTTAGGAGATATACCTACGCCTCTCTTGTTCTGTCTTCGCTATCATATCCTCAACTACTGACAACATCTGCCTGCCTCACCCAAACCTAGCAATCAGGACCCGCACTCAACACCTCCGAGGTCTATCTTCGAGTGTGTGCTATGTGAAATTAACCAATGACCATAAATATTGGAGAGATCTAAACGGATCTAGTACTATTATATTGTAAAATACCAACCTAATAAAGATAATAAGACGTTGTAGTTACATCCTTTTTTAAATGCATAGAATGTTTAGAAAATTGTGCGGTTAATGTAGGATATTTATTTATACATTTTTGCATGTATGTGTAGATATATTGTGATTTTATATATAGAATGTTTGATAAATTCAGGTATGTGATGAAACGCAGATTCAATAAACGCAATTTAATATTTAACTAAATTGTACTCGCCCTGTAGGTATTTCATTATTTCTTTATCTCCATAAATTAATTTTGTATATGAGACATGTTTTTTTTTGTCATTTTAATTAATCTGTACTTTAACTACCTACTCCCGAGTGGTTTCAACCGCTCTGCTCGGCTCCTATTGGTCGTCCGTCGTAGAATGATGTTTTAAACGCGATCGCATTAACCTCAGGGACTTGGGCCGATTTAAAAATAATCTTTTTTTGTTGGATAGCCCATTTTTCGACGAAGGCTAGCCTACTATAAAACATCGCGCTACGATTAATAGGACCCGAGCAGCGGATGAAAGTAGCTAGTAAGACATTAATCGTCGCTTACTTTTTGACGTAATTGTATTTCCAACACAAAATCTGTCCGATTTTTTTTGTATATTAAGTACGTATTTATAATTTTGTATGTCCATTTTAAATGGGATCTGCGTCCAAAAATAAGCAATATTACATGTATGAAGTGTTTGTGCGTACGTTTGACTGTGTACAATGCTAATGTATATTATATTATGTTGTAAATTATGATTACATAGTAATACAATTGGTGATACATAAGTTTGTAGTTTTATTTGTATGTTAATGTCAGTTTTTGTTGTCATTCCAAGAAGAAGAGTTCATAAATTCAAAACCACGGCTTCATCGATATTTCCATATCGTTTTTTTATGGCATAAGCCGGTAAACGAGGTGACGGATCACCTGAAGGTAAGCAATCGGCGCCGTCCATGGACACCTGAAACACCAAGGCTTTACAAGTGCATTACCGGCGGTTTGGGGAATTAGGAATTTGAGGATTGTGGAGGATTCAGGGATTGGGGAGACGGGGGGGTAATTGGGCCTCCAGGCACCTCACTCACACAACGCAAGCGTTATTCACGTCGGTTTTCTGTAAGGCCGTGGTATCACTCCGGTCGAGCCGGCACATTCGTGCTGAAGCTTGGCTCTCCCACACTATATCGCTCGTCATCAACATTATTTTGTGTCTATTCAAATTAGTATTGCTAATAATCGAATAATGCTTGAGAGATTGAATCAAAAATATGTTCTTTAAAACACGCGATGCGTTCACGTGGGTCAGTGGCGATTCATCGACACGCCACAAAGTAGCCCGAGGGCTTAGGGTTGGGCACGTTAATATAAAACATCCGGTCGCGTTAAAATACCATCCCATAACGTTAAGCGAGATGGACCTACGTCAAAGCCTTGAGGAACGCCATTAAAAATGTTGGTGTAAATTAACTAAAATTGCTATTCATTGATGGGGAAATGCGTTATTAAATGTTTTTTTAACCGATCTAATGTTTTAAACAATTAACTATGAAAAGTATAGGAAGTAATTTCTAAACTTGCAATGTGAACATTATCAAAGGCCTTGCAAAAGTCTGTGCACTTTTATGGTAATACAGGAATAATTTGCGCGTTTCCATATTTGTAAAATAAGTGATTAATTGTGCTTATTAAAAATTCTCATTTTGGTCAGGTTAACAGTCCAATACCTTTAGTTAGATAAAAATAAAACCAGATATTTGTCATCATGTACAAAAATATTTCATTTAATGTCGTTATTTAAATTAAATTATTGTTACTTAACAATAACAAGTACTTAAATTACTGCTTATAAATACAAAATTTTGAATTTTCACTTCATAAAACTAGTTTTACACAAATCAGGATGTTAAAAAGCCAAAATATGTGATGTAAATATCAATCAATAGGTAATTTTAATGAAATATGTAAAAGGAGTTAGCAAAATAGTGTGTAGTGTAAAGTTAATTTTTCAGCCTCTTGACAACTACTGAAATTATAACAAATAAAAATAATGATACTGCATTTTTTCTTAAAAAAAAAACATAAGTATTACAGACATAAAAACCTAGCAAGTTTACGGTAGTACTGTTGGCAAGATCAGGGTATTAAAAATACATAATTAATAATATCTAAGTACCAAAACTTATTTCATTCCGTTCATTAATTAGAACTTCGTCATTTTTCTGAGTAGTTAAATAAAAATTCGTGTTGATAAAACTTTAAACTGGAGTGCAGATAAGAGGTCCACAATTTTGAGATTCAGTATTCATATCAAATAACCGATGAATAAAAAAATACTAATATAACATCTTAATAACTAAATGGAAGTAACAAAATGGACACATTTATACCTACATAACAGTCTGTTGTAGTTCTTTCTATCACTTAAAGCTATTATAAAACATATAAGATCCCGTAGTCGAAGTATGGTTTTGTGTTAGGTACACTTATTTGATGTATCATAAAAAGTAAAAAGGAAGAGAAATTGAGAGTGAAGGGATAAGTAGGCGACGTAGAGGTAAAGGAGTAGCGGACGGATTACCTGAGGAGTAACAAGTGCGTTACCGGCATTTTTGAGACATGAGTCACAAGGCGAAACACAGCGCAAGCGTTGTTTCACGCTGGTTTTCTGTGAGGCCGTGGGTTGTGGCATAGCTTTGACATACTTCTACACTTCAAAATCTAAGTTTTAGTGTTAAGTTTAAGTTTGATTGGAAATAATATTACATTGCTATTGATGATACATCTAATAAGTCTACCAAACCTCAGAGATATTTATTATATTATAATGTAGATATAAATTAGGATATTGTATTAATACTGATTACATTTACTTATAAAATGGTAATTGATGGCAATTATGTACATCATTGTGGCATGGAATATAATTTAGTTTAAAACAAAAATGTTATAGACCCGCATTTTATATGCAATATCAAAACTAAATATATAATACAACCGATTACCTAAAAACTAAAATAAATTAATTCTAAAAAACTTCTATAACTACTATTTAATTCTATTATGCAACATGCTGCCCTAAATATAATATAAATATATTTTTGAAAACATTTTATTACTACATAAAAATATTTATTAATGAGCACCCTATATTACATAATGGTAAGGCACATTATTGGGCGTTGTTCGGAACACTGCTACAATCTAATTTGCAAACCAAAGAGACGGAAATAGTCCTAACTTAATTTTTTAAATTATTTTTTTGTACCATAATAAAAGAACCGCAGTGCCCCAATATTTTAAACATATTGCGTTAAAGGAACATACTCTAAAAGGAAGACTGAGTAACATATAATTACACATTACAATTAATGCTACACATAATATTACAAAAATGTTACAACACTACAAATTAATATAAATTAAATAGAGCTAATTACTACACAAAACTAAGCAATGTTTGGAATGTATAATGAGTTGGCAGTCTTTTAGATAAGTTTATTTCAATGCAAGAATGGTGCTATAGCTAGACCATACATATGACATGTTGACTGTAATTATTTAGATTTATAAACAGCAATGTGTCTATCATATTTCATTCAGTCTAGCATTGTTGTCAGTTTGTATTTTCATTTAATTTCAGAGCGGATATTTATTGCATATTCAGCTAAACTCATTCCCCTCATACAAACTCTCACACACTTCCAACAACCTTAGCACAGGACTGATATTGTATGGGAACAGTGACTTAGACACCAGTCTACTGATCTGCAATCTCAATCGTATTAGTACCCTCATGGTGTCATCCAAACCTCTGCTTCCACCAGAATCTGCCTGCTGACATGTCTCCAAGAACTTGGGCCAATTCCTCCTCACATATTTCAAAAACCTGAGTAAGTATAACAAGAAACATGTCTCGTTGCTCACCAAATAATCCAACAACACATCACTGTCATGTGATACTACCTTTAAGAATTCTATGAAAGAAGATATTGGGTTCAACATTGGTATTAAGTCTGGATACATTGAGTTTCTGTACACAATCCCTACTGTAATATCAAGAGTGCACACCATGGATTCAATCAAATAGTCATCCTGTTCACTGAACAAATGTATCAGCATTTTCGTAAATGGTGTCTCAGGATGGAACTCAAGACTATTTCTGATGAAAACATCTAGTTTCTTGAGCACATCGCGTATCGATCGTTCTACAATTTGCATATCTTGTATCGCATTGTAATCTGAAGAATCTATTGAACTGTCGGAGGAATCGCATCGCATTTCTTTCACTGTAACAGCTACAGATTTGAGAACTAATAATGACATTCTTTGTAGCATTGTTTTGTCAACTTCCCCTCTCGATTGCGGTTCGTCATGTTCATCTTCACCATAACTCTGATCTACAAGTTGAATAGAAGACGATAAAGGCGCTACTTCAGGGCCTAGACTATAATCTCTTAGGATTGTGCATTCATTTCCTAAAAATCCAAAACCACTTCTGCTAGTCTGAACTCTTACATCATTTAATAGTCTGAAGTCTTTAACAAACCTCACAATGGAGTGTGCTAGACAGCATATCTCCTCAGGCAAAATATCTTGTAGCGCTAATGTTGAACCATAACACAGAACTTCATTGAACAAACTGAGTAAATGAGTATAAATTAGACTTGGCAGCACTGTATTTCGTAGTAGATCTACAAAGCCCTGCAAGTCAGCATAGAATGGTTTTGTGTCTATTACTGAGAGATTCGCTTTTACACTAATAATATTCTCCCATAGTGAGAAAAAGGTTAGTATACAATTTTCAGCATTTGCTAAATTCAGGTACCTTAGAAGAAGAAGCTTCATGTTTTTTACCAGCACAGGCCAGTGGTGCTCTAATGTTTTTATTGTTAGGCATTTTATATGTGATGTGTCGAAGGATTCAGAGTCAGTGAGCACAACCGTGACACAACCATGTTCATTCACTCTCTCTATCCTTGATTGAGGAGGCTCTGGGGATTCTGATTGTTCCATGTCTCTTTCATTGGATAACTTTAATACTGGCTCAGTTAATCTGAATGTTGATGGTCCTCCTTGTTCTGATGATGTGGAGGCTGCACCGTGTGTTTGTAGATTCGAAAATGCATTTTGCAGGTTACTGTGCGAACTTGAGGGCATGTCATTGCTAGTAGCCCCATAGCCAACAGTACTTCTAAAGGGATTATCTTCCTGCACTTGGACATTCCCCGAGTTAATATAACTACTGTCTTCCAATGGGTGTTGTTCCACGTCTTTCCACTCAACTATCCTCTTTATAATATCTAGACTGAAGTTTATCTTTTGTACTGTAATCCTATTGATTCTATCAAACAGGTAAATGTTTTCAGCAATTTGCTGGAGCCAATTCTCATCAACAGTATCTTTTGACACTATTAGAAAGCTAGCTAATACTCTACAGGCTACAAATGTTATGAATTTACTCTTATGGTCTGCCAATTCTACAACCTCTGTTATCCAATCATGCCTATTCCTAACAAATATGTCACATGCTTGCATTATCTTTGAACATATGGTACCTGTACTGTTTTGTTTTAAATATATATCGAACATTAGCTGCATTGTGGATAAATAAGTGAGGGAACATGTCAAAGGCCAAGAAACAATATTGAGTTGTCTGTCAAACAGTTGGGTTACTGCCGTCTCATTAAATCTACATAAACACTGACCTACCAGTGCATCCTGAAGTATTCTGAGCTCAGCCAACAGTTTATCATCCTCCGAAGACCAGTGTGGTGCAGAGCTGGAGCAGGATGGTATGATCTCTACATTGGTGTCGCTTGGAAGTCTCAGGAGACTGGAACAATCGACAGCGTCTTCGCTGACCGTCCCGCTGTCTGGAGACTCACCATTCCGAGTTGGGAACTCCTCAGATGTCTCAGCAGGGGTATTTTCAGAATCAAATATGTCAGTGAGGACATCCTCCGTGGATCGGTCACTACCTTCATCAATATCTGGCGCGTCAATTCGCTGTTTCTTTTTCACAGGTTGATCTGAGGCCATACCTTCATCTAACTGTGGTCCACAAAGGTGCCCTCTCAAAACCATTAACACTCGTCCTGGTTCTCAGCCAAAACTATAATTGGCGTTGTCCGCGCAACACTATTGCTTTTATATTGAGACGTTCATCGTTCTGGAAACAAAAAGGTGAATATGAATGCATGACCTTTCCGTTTAGCTACTCAATTACGCGGGCGACAAAGCCTTCGAATTTTTGAAGGATTACGACATAGCCCGTTGTTACTGACCGACAGGAATCACATTTTAACACATTAGTGATACAATTCACGTAAGATTACACACTTTCAACTGATTTTAATGATAAATTCAATGAACTTTCCAAAATATTTTGATGTCACACATACCATTGATAAAACGAGGTTGTTTGAAAGCTTTTTATCACGTGTGGTATCCATAAATTATCTATAACCATTCACTGCAATCCAGTAATACACAATAATAAACAGTTTTATGTGATATTTCGTAGAAAATTATATAATTATTTCAATTACAACTTGTCGAAAAGAACATCGACTCCATTACGTACAAATGAAAATGACGCTCGATCAGTTAGGCATCTTTTTACAAAGGAATTTATTGATATTTGAATACTTTCGAGCTCAAAATTATTATTTAACGAATTAATAAATAATCATATAATTTATAATGGTCATAAATCTCACTAAAATACCATAAAATGATATTTTAAAATAATTAATACGTAAAATGTTCTACAATCCAAAGTATTTCCGACTCCACATCCGGTAGAGACGTTGCCAGTCAGACGACTTCTGTGTTTAGCAAACAGTGGCACATTTTTGAGTTGATTTTTGCTCGATTTGGCATTCGAAAGATTAAAATGTTATGAGTAATAAATCAAATAATACTTATACAAATAACGATAACAAAATAAAGTGATATTTTTTTCAGGAGACAAACAGTATTTTGTAGCGTTATTATTGCGAATAAAGCATACAAAATTCAAATATTAAAAACACTTAACAATATTGCACTTCTTATTTACTATTAACACCTTTAGAAAAATATCTAGGAATTTAACGATATCGATAACAAAATCCTAAATATCGTGGACTTTAATTTTTAGCCGCAGTAAAAAATGAAATGAAATTGATTGATTTGAGTTAATTTTTACGAGTAGCAACACTGCAGTGTACCGAGTAGTAAAATGTCTGCTACGAAAGGATCGAAAAATAATTTAAACAAAATGATTCAGTAGCCATAGCTAAAATCAATTAAAGATAACGGAATATTCAGGTGAATATCATGAAACTGTATTCGTGGTGTAGTATAAAAGTGTAAACTATGACTCATCTAAGTGTTTTTGCATAACAATCGATAGAAAAAATATAGGTTAAGATCTCAGTGGTATTGTGTTCGGTTCTGAGCGATATAAAAATATATTGAAAATAGAAATGCATCAACGGGATGTTACATTAGCAGCACGCAAGTATATGTTATTGTTTATTTATAGTCGCGATGCGGAAATCGTCTCGATATGTCATGGTGTTCATTATTCTTTTTTTGGTATAAAAATGTATATAAAAGTTCAATTGTAAGGGATTGCGAAAGCGGTGTAGTATTGTATGACACCCGCAACCTTGCAATCAATGAATAGAAAGCAGTTGTCGCCTTTTGATTAGTTAAACAATAGCGAAAATCCGTTCTATTTCCTATTGGCCCTAGGCAAAAACGGCTGTAGGTAGTTAGTAGGTGCAGTCGCGACAGCAGCGTTACGATTATCGACTTATTTATACTGTTTATATTACTAACTGTTTGTTTTCCTCTTACAATTATATTGTTTTGAAATATAAGCTTTGTATGAGTCATTTGTATGTATATAAAATTATCTTTTATGTATGTAATTATCATTTCTTTATCAGATAATCAGGCACGTAAATTACTGTACTTTTTTTTTGTTTTTATTCTGGTCGAATATTGTTATGTATAAAAAAAGTATAAACAATTAGAATTTGTAAATAGAACAGTGTTGTAGTCAGCTTATCAGTAACTTATCAGGGAGATTACAACAGCCCTTTCAGCAACATTTTTTAAGATAACACTAAGTAGTTAGATACAAGTCTTATAGTATTTTTCTAATTGGAACAATGATTATATATTTTTTATGAGAAATCTTCATCATGTTGAAAAATACTCTCATTTAGCTATTTATAAGCTGTGACCTTCTGTGTTACAAGATGTGAAAAGATTCAATAAAAATTCTATTTTGATAATTCTCCAGTTATAAAATGATATATCTTGTTTCTACATCTATAATTTTATTAAAAGCTTACATAGTTTTTGTGCCAATTTATTGTGAATTTTGTGAGAATCATTGTGTAGGTACATATGAATGTATAGTACAATAAAATATTCTAACTTTACTGAAGGTATACAAACATTTTATACAAACCTCATATGATCAAACTAAAAAAAAATACAGCTGCTACACAACTCATACCTTTTAATCAAGCACAAGTAATACCACATTCAGCCAACACAAAAACCTCTTTTCAGATGCTGCAGAAATTACAATGGAACACATTTGTGAGACAGACAAAACAATAAGCTGCATGCCTTAAATTGTTTTAAAAAAAGTAGATTTTTTACATGAATCTCATAGGACATAGTGATAGTGTAATGTGAGTATGAAGATGTGTGTATGAAGTGATTTGTCCCAGTGCTGACATTTAGTGAGTGATCGATGGTTGACGGTCTAAACGGTGCCAACATGTCTGATGAGGAGGATTCTTCACCTGATCGGGCGCTGGGACCCACCAACAATGTACCAGGTAAATATTCATAAACTTCTTTTTTCAACAACAATAAACTTACTTAGTGTAATTGACCACCCAAATGTGAGATTTTTGTGTCTCTTAGGTCCTGTACTCCTATTTCATTACCTATGTTGTTGGTTAGTCTAACTGGCAGATAATTTCCGTATGAACTGTGTCAGTCAAGCTAACAGGAACTTATTCAATAGAAGTTATACAGGCGCATAATAATCAAATTGTTTTAGTTTACACAGCCTTGTCTGAACAAATGAGTTTCACATAACACTTATTGTGCCTAATAAGTGTTATTCATTTGTAGGTTTACTAGTATTAACTACAATTATTCGATTTCAATCAATTCTATTATTTCCTCTTATTGCATTGTCCAATGTGATTTAAATACAATAATGTTTATGCTTAACTAGGAATTTCCTTGCACAAAAATGTTTCCAACTTCTTTTCCTGGTACACTATAAATAGTACTATTGAATACCCAAATAAGGCAAAGTATTGTTGTTATGCTATTTTGAATTAGGTGGAATGCTAAGAAAGCATGGTTAACAAGTGAAATCAACAACCTAGGTATCTTAAATTAAAAATCTCTGTCGCGGAGACCCTAACCGGTAACTGGGGCTCGGGCTCGACGTGCAGGAGAAGGAACGGGCTGGTTTTTAGTCAGTAAGAATGGCACTCTCTCCTGCCTCACCCAGACGGGAGCAGTCATTCAATGATTTTATCCCCTTTTAAAAAAAAAAATTCAAAATCTGTGGATTCATATATTATTGAGTCAGAAACTGTGGAATTTCTGAGTTCACACAACTAATGTGAAACATAAAACCTAATTCAAAGATTTAAAAATAAAATTATTTAATAATTTCGGCTGTAGTTAAGTGTTAGTAATATCTGATGGCCATATCATAAACATTTTATTTTAAATGTTCTCCCTCACCGTGAGTCTTCATGTGTAATGTTACAGATCTGAGCATTCATTTTTTTTAAAACCGGTAAACGAGCATACGTATCACCTGATGGTAAGCAATCGTCGCCGCCCATGGACACCTGAAACGCGAGGCAAGTGCATTACCGGCCTTTTGGGAATTGGGAATTTGAGGATTGTGGAGGATTCGGGAATTGGGGTGGGGGGGGGGGCGTAATTGGGCTCCGGTAACCTCACTCACACGACGAAACACAACGTAAGGGCTTACTTCAGTGAAGGAGAAGAACAGCATTACAATGCGCACCTTGTAATGATACAATGTGTAATATCTTGTTACAACTTGTAACATCAATGCTCAAAGTCAAATCAATATGTTACATTACACGCAAATGCTTGTTAGTCAAGGAGGTATTATTTTAATGTAATGCAGAAATTCGAATCTATAATGTTACATTACATGTGAATGCTCCCGGTGAGGGAGTACCTTAAGAGTAAAAATATAGTTTCTTTCTCGCTGAGCTTCATTAAGACAGATTGATAGGCAATTCAATTTTGATATTTCAAAAGTGTCTCTCATTAAACTGTCAAACACCAAGCGGTCACCAGTGACCGCAACCTATTGTTCTATAATTGTGTCTACAAAACCGGTACTCGACAAGTTAAGGATCAATTTAAATAAATGCTTTAACTTTGATATAAAAAGTTTTCATATAGAAATAGGATAATGTATGTGATATCTGCAACCTGTTTGGTTTATATTTACCCAAGCATGTCAACTGAACAGAAAGTGGAGTGTAATTTACACTTACAACTCTTGGTGTTAGTTACATATACTACTGTCTCTATTTCCATCATATTTCCTACTGATGTACTTTTATAGTTTGTTACTAATTTAGATAATGAGTAAAGTTGGAATTTTACATTATAAAATGGTGATATACTTAACTAATTAGAGACATACCCACTTATAACGTCGCGGAGAACCTAACGGGTTACCGGGGCTCCGGCTCGACGTGCGGGAGAAGGAACGGTGTGGTTTTTAGTCAGTAAGAGTCTGACACTCCCTTCCGCCTCACCCAGGCGGGAGCAGTCATTCGATGATTTTCCCCCCTTAAAAAAAAAAAACTACTAAAACATAATGCATTGCAATCTAAATTATGTTATGTAATAAATAAAGTAATAGAAATTATTTTAATGATAACATAATTGCTTAATTACTTAATTTTTTATTAACAAGGTACAGAATACCTAATTAATTTAACAATGTTTTAATTAACACTTTTATTTGAGTAGTTAGTTTCATAAGATTTGTTAATAGAAGACTAAAAATAAAAATCTAGCGTGAACAAATTAAAAAGTTTTAGAAAGTCTTGACTGTGTCATTGGTACAGTGGTCGCAAGCGCGACTACCTAATAAATGGTCTCGGATTCGATACCGAAAGTATTAAAAAGATTTTTGCGGTTTTCCGAAAATTCTTAGTTGTAGCATTGTGTCGAGACCTGCCCCGTGTGAGGCAATGGTCTTGTTTTACCCCCTGTTAAACGAGACTGAGGTCATCACAGGCGTGACGTCACACCTTTCTTCGTAAGGGTGGCAGGAACGTACATTTTTTAATGTAGCACATAATATGTTTCACCATTTATGTTTATTTTTAGAAAGTCTGAATAGATAGTAGATATTTAAATCAGATTAGTGATAGAAATCAAAAACAAGTCTAATTTGCATTGTAGTTTTAAATGACATGGCGAGAATTTGTATGAAACTGTCACGCATCTCACTAACAGTCAGACAGTCCACTTATATATTACTATTTATTTATTTAAACTTGTTTATGATGAATTGATGCCTATGATGCGCCTCCTTTGCCATAATCTCAACGGTAGATAGGCGGGTTGAAGAACGCGGCTTAAAAGGTTCAGGTTTATTAGAGAGTGCTGCTGCAGGGTATCTGTTATGTAAATGTCCCTGAATTGACTCTTACGATATCCGCGCGTATAGTAGGGTCAGTGACAAAATGACAGATGTATTTTTCTCTTCTTAGAAACTGTAGCCTTGCTGATATATTGATGCATCCCCATCATATAGATGGTTGACAGGTCACAACTGTATGCTTCTTCCGTAACGTTCTGCCTCGCACAGCAAAACTGTGGAATGATCTGTCGTCAGCGGTATTTCCGAACCGATACAACCTTGAAGAAAAGGGCGTATTCATTTTTAAAAGACCGGTAACGCACCTGTGACTTCTCTGTGGTTTTGTTTTGTGGGTGCTGTCTATGGGCGGCGTAGATCGCTTACCATTAGGTGAGCTCCGTCTGCTCGTTTTCCTCCTATTCCATAAAAAACATTGATATGGTAAGATTATGTCAAATTATGGGCCTGGTTCATAACCACTAACTTAAAGTTATGTGAGAATATTTCTGGCGTTTACATTTTAATCATTTATTTGGGAATATCTAGCTAGGAGAAATACATACTAAAACAAATACAATCCCGTCTGAGATTTTTCCAGTTTTGCATCTTGTTTATCTGAAATCTGAAAAGTTATTTTCTGACAGTGAAGTATTGCTCCGATAAATTCGCGCCAATATTGAACAGATATCCCATTTTCATACGCCTGTCAAAATTTATTTTTTAATTCGCGGCTCTCAAGGCTGTGTATTCAGTCATACAGCCAATTATCAAACCTTACTATTGTTAGTTAATTAACATTGCAGGCGTAACTGATTCATTGCGTTACCATGTGCGCTTATGATGTACATAAATTATTATTCTTTTTAGTAATGGGATGTCCTTTTTAATTTAGTCATGTTACTTCCTGTTTGATTGTTTTAAGTAATGAGGTTTTTCGTGTTAATGTGCCGGGACGGGACAGTACTGTAGTAGTTCATCGACTTTTTAATAGTTTAGTTTAATATTTGAATTGAAGTGCTGGTTTTAGTACGCCAACCGTGTGCGTGAATATTTAAATAATTGCACAGATTACATCATTGGCATTTTAAAATGTGCAGAGATAATTTATCTCAGATAAAAATAGCTTTGCAATCTGTTATATTTTTTGGTCCAGTTCAACGTCAATCCTGTTCTATTTATTGGAAATATAGGATACGGGAAACCAATATCCTCAGCACGGAAATGGAATCTAAAATCCGTTACACTTACTATCACTACACTGACGAGTCATAACCTTCAATATCCGTTATATTTCGGTTGTAAAGTTCAAATGCCAAAGCTTTTTGGTTTGACCTGCATCCAAATTGGCATAGCACGGATAGCACCCTTCATGGCACAGAGCCTTTGGTGCCTCGCCAATTAGGTCATAGGTCAGGCCAGAGAGCAAATGCATTTTCTCCATATTTGCGTAGTTGATGACATAGGTTAAGTTATCATGTCGTTCTCGTTTGTTGTACTTCTATTTCTATTCTATGGGATGAGTTAGCGTCTAGGACATGTAGTCATTTGATAATTTTCCTGTCTTACAAAACAAGTCGTAGTTATTCGATAAAATCTGATCCTTTACCTTGATGTAGTCGCGGAGAACCTAACGGCTTACCGGGGCTCCGGCTCGGTATGCAGGAGAAGGAACGAGGTAGTTTTTAGTCAGTAAGAGTGACACTCCCTCCCGCCTCACCTAGGCGGGGGAAGTCATTCGATGATTTTCCCCCCTTAAAAAAATACCTCGATGTAGAACTGTAGCTATCGTGCTATTACTGACAATTTCGTAGTCACTAAACACATATATATTTGTCACAATCACAACCCCTATTGTTTCCCGGGGGTTTCGTAAGAGCCGATTTTTCGTAAGAAACTTCGCGTTTAACATTCCAGACACCAGCGCTCGCTGATTATGACAAACCTTCTTATTGTCTAGCAGTGAACTCCCACGGGCCCATAGGCTGTTGATGATGAAACCCAAAAGTACTTTGTCCAATCTTGGGTGGCAACTTGGCTTCTCTTGATCGACAACATTGGTCCACTATACTTTCTTATAAATTAAGCTTGAAGATTCAATCTTGTAAATGTAGAGTCAATGTCTCAAGAGATTTTTAACGGTATTTAGAACGTGACAGGCCTCCGGAACTAAATATCTGTTCCAATGATTTGTCAACAGTTTAAAGATTTTATATGGTTCGGATATTTTAAGAAAGTGGTGTAAAGTTTTGAACCCATTTACAAAACAGACATGATTTTCACAATTAGGAGAGGTATGATTCAGTACCAATGGGCCGGCTCGACTGGTGTAATACCACGTCTTCACAGAAAACACTTTTGTTTTGCCGCGTAAGTGAAGTTAACGGATGGTCAATCTGTGGTGGCGAAAAGTGGATGTTGTAATTAATTAATATGCACTCCTCTAGTCTATCCGGCTATCCCCTTGGGAATGCTAAGTTCCGGCAATTACCTATCAGAGAACGGCCCTGCTCAACTCAATGGTTGGTGCTATAGCAGGGTGATGAGCTACAGCACAACGTGTCACAGTTTCTTACTGTCTAAAAGGATTATTTCTGTGAATCATGAATTGTTTTTCTAGGTTTGTGTATTTATAAATGCTACCAACCCATGGCATATGTATGTGAAAATCCTAATGTGGGGTATATAAAATTACGAAGAAACTGTGTAGCCTAGTTGTATGTGATATTACGACACACAACTTGTTTTATGCACTTTGTTTGCCTTGTGACTTCCGAGACGTGTAGATAAGGTATTAGAAACGTCAAGTTTACTTTGTCATGGCATTCAGGTGGAAGCTCTATGCTGTACATAAACTGTACATAAACTCACGCTTTTGTGTCAATGGGGGCAACAGTTTCCATTACCTTCTTGCTATGGATGTTAGACATTAACTCGTCGAGTACCGGTTTTGTAGACACAATTATAGAACAATAGGTTGCGGTCACCGGTGACCGCTTGGTGTTTGACAGTTTAAGGGTCAAACGATATCATTGCTGTAATGGCCTGGGGTTTGCGTATAAAGCGCAGTAACTTACCGTGGCTCGGGACTGTGTAGTGTTTGCTTAATAAGTCTCTTTCTCTCGCTTTTCTCTTACTCTTTAACACCTCACTCAGAAAGGCAGGAGTAATTAGAATTTTATTTCCTCTTAACAAAAAAGGCATAGTGGCCTCAGGGGCTTTTGGTGTAATAGAAAACTTTGTAATCGGAATAAATAAACCTAATACATATTTATTTTATTTGATTGACCTTTTTTGAGGGGTAAAGTCATCCAATGACTTCTCCCGCCTTGGGTTAAGCGAGAGGGAGTGTCATAATCTTACTGACTAAAAACCATCCTATTTCATCTCCTGCTCTTCGAGCCGGAACCCCGGCAACCCGTAAGAGCTTCTGCGGCTACTTGATTGGCCATGAGGTCTGAAATTTTACTCTGTACCATGGCGGTTCTCTTAAAAACTGGACTAGTTGTAAATACAATTAGATTCAGAATAACAATGTAGGTATATTATATCAATCTTTCTATTAATAGTGCTGAAAACACAAAAGACGAGATTGTGAAGCAAGTCTGAATTACTCAAGTGGGTAGATCCCCTACAAGTCTCATGTATACGACGAAAACAATGTAAAACCGTTTGCTTATCAGAAAAACAATAAGTCAACTAAATACTTATCGGGCAATTATTGTAAGTACGTAATCTATGTGAAAATGCGCTTAAGAGTTTCTTTTTCAAGGACAGTCAATTGGAGCAGGATTAACGCGTAAAAACACGCAAATTCTTTAGATATAGGTAAATTTTGCTTGAACCAAACGGTACTTATCGAATCGCTTGTTAATACATGTGTGAACATGTATTTCAAATGTATGTTTAGGTACATTCATAACATAACATCACGCCTTGTTGCCCCCGAAGGGATAGGCAGATTACAGCGCTTAATGCCACTGTACAATGTTACACCCACCTTTCACTATTTGTGTTATGAGTTCCATGTAATAGAGGGTTAGCCTATTGCGATACACCGGGCACAATTCCAGACTCCGTGCTACTACTGACAATTTTTTTTTAAATCCGGTTATACTTTGCTCGAACCGGCAGTCGCACTTGCGACCATTCGGCCAACGAGCCAGTCACTTTATTATTCCTTTATCAATTTTTAATTATATAACCTTCCTTTTGGCTTTCCGTAGTCGGGTAATAAATAATGCCTCGTCTCAAAATTACTAGAAAAGTGCGAACGTTTCTGGTACACCTTTGAAACTTTGTGATTGGATCTCTTCTGATTCAGGACTGAACGTACATACTGTAAAAAAACATTATTAATTACCATATCACCAATTATTATATTATAGTACACTGATATTAAAATATTGTGGGGATTTGTTTCTAACAATATGAATCTTGTGCTTAGGCATTTAAGGCGATAATTCATTTTCCTTCCTGTTACCTTATGTTACTAATTAAAATGTCATTTTCCACTGGAATTCAAATCAATACACATATCGAATTAATTAACTGAATAAATGATAATAATTGTTGTATGCGTGATAGCTTTGCATCGATTCCCAGAATAGGATTGTTCGGTTTTTATAATCATCGGTAGTAGCACAGTCTGTAGTCTGAAAGTAACTATATGGTTACAATTTGTTATTAAATATGGGGCAGCCATGCTTCGGCACGAATGAAAATGAAACAACGCTTGCGTTGTGTTTCGTCGTGTAAATGAGGTTACCGGAGGCCCAATTACTTCCACCCCCCTCTCCAATCTCCCCAGTCCCTGAATCTCCAACCATCCTCAAATTCCTAATCCCCAAAATGCCGGTAATGCACTTGTAACGCCTCTGGTGTCCCGGGTGTCCATGGGCGACTCCAATTGCTTACCATCAGGTGATCCTTATGCTAACCATCAGGTGATCCGTTTGCTAGTTTACCGGCTTATCCAATAAAAAAAAATACATGTCAGAGTGGGTGTTTTTCATAGTTACCGTAACCGTAATTGATCAAGAGACCTTTAACATTTCATAATAAGGAAAGATGCTTATTATACCTACCACGTGAGCAACAAAGCGGCACATGTTCATTATTCTTAAAAATTTTCCCTCCCTTTATTTTAAGGCACGTGGGGTGTGCAGTGTAAGTCTTCTTTCAGTTACCCCTTTCAAACGTCATCATATTTAACAAGCCTTCGTTACATTATGTCGACCGCCGTAACGAACGGTGTAGATAAAATCTAAGAAGCTCGATTACACTCATTCCTAGTGTTATATCATCATGAAAATTGGCAGTTGTATGTAGATTTCATGACCATACGATACTATGGTGACATCGAGCTGGCTTGATTATGGAATTAGAAGGCGGCTGTACCTTGAGCTATCTACTAATAAATATACAAATCGAGTTTGGGCTCATTAGATAGATATGGCCATTTCTTCTGAGGACATCTTTGTCATCACATATGATTAATCAAACGTATGATTAATTCTTTAAATTATTAATGTACTAGCGACCCGCCCCGGCTTCGCACGGGTGCAATATGCATGTATTATACATACAAACCTTCCTTAAGAATCACTCTATCTATTAAAAAAAACCGCATCAAAATCCGTTGCGTAGTTTTAAAGATTTAAGCATACATACGGACATACAGCGAAAGCGACTTTGTTTTATACTATGTATTGATTACTCTATATCATATTAATCCTGTTTCTTCTTCCACAGTGCTGGGCATCAAACGTCTCAAACAGATCGAGACGATGTTCATATCCCGACGGCTCCAGGCTCCAAGGACCCATGGTCTTAGCGTGGAGACCCTGGTCGATATGTTGCTGGTCCTATACGACGAATGCTGTAACAGCAGCCTTCGGAGGGAGAAGGCGGTAGCCGATTTCATATCTTATGGTGAGTGGAATAGAATTGTTATTTTTACTTAGGTACCTTTGGTCTTAGCGTGGAGACCCTGGTCGATATGCTGATGATCCTATATGACAAATGCCACATCTAGTAAAAATAGATTCTGTGCTTACCTACCTATGTTTCTGCATTGTAACATTGCAAGGTCAAGTGATTGATTAATTTATTGGTTTACCCACATTTACTTCATATTTTTGTTATAGTTTATTGGTCTGCTCGTGTTACTTGATTCTGTACTTTGTGTTAATTTATCACTTTACCTACATTTTTAAATGGGGAAAGTATAAATTTGTTCTTTTATATTCGCCACATTTTTTGTATTATTTTTCTTTGTTTGTATGTACGTACTACTGTGCGCTCTAAATTGCTTACTTTTGTGTTAAATATTGTTTCTCAGTAAGCGGATTATGTATCTGACTCTCTTGTGAAATAAAAATATTCTAAACCTAAACTTGAATACTATAACAGGAGTTTTAGGTGTGGAATAGAATTGGTGTCTGTATTAGCTTCAAGATGAGCGTATTTTTCATTACGAGTGTTCATGAGCTGTACCGAACACTTATAATCAGATGTTGCGTCTGCTCATTTGCCCCTATTCCATAAAAAAACACGACAATATGTATTTGCTTGCTAAAATGTCACCCTAATTAATCCACCCTAATTTTTACGCAACTGCAAGGAAAGGGTTGTTTTTGTAGATGTGTTTGTTGCTAACCGAACAATTAGATGGGAAGCCATTAAATTACTTCGCCCATGGTTAAAGTTTAGTGTTTTTTGCGATTTCCATTTCTAACAACAAAAAGGGGGAGAAATTCTAGTAATCGAAAAAGTTTCCACCCATGAGGAAAGGAAAATTTATATTTTCCTTTCCTTTATGGATATAAAGCTTGTGTAAATTATGGAAAGGTACCTTATTATTTTTGAGACGTTGCTATGTTGATAGAAGCGTAGTAAATCTCTTATTGACCCAATTTGAAAGCGTTCAATTGAAGTGTTCAATTGAATGTGCCCACTCCATAGACAAAATTATTTTTCTAATTAGATCGTAAGCTGATATGAATGTTGGTTTAAAAAAGAAAGCCCGTGAAAGCCGTAGTAATGCTTTGCTTTTATATTAGCTTTGAAAGAAATTGAAAGAAAACCTGCACAGTGGTTTCTATACACGAATTCAATAAGATTTGCTAATTAAAAAATACATTTAAAGAGTAACATAACGACTTTTTTTCTCTTGAAGAAGTACGTGGGTGACTACGGAATAAGATAGCTTGAGTTTGTTTCCCGTGTCTATTGGGTATTCGAAAGATTGTCAATACGAAGTCTAGAATTTATGAGTTTATGACAACCTATACACAGCGGAAAGTGTAGGTGTAAATGTCTAATTAGATTTTTATAAGCTTTAACTAGGGAATCCAAATCTCGTCAGATTGGGGCTTAAACTATCAAACACCGCGAGGACACCGACCGCAACCTATTGTTCTTTAAACTGTCAAACACCAAGCGGTCACCGGTGACCGCTATAATTGTGTCTACAAAACCGGTACTCGACGAGTTAATTGTGTCTATAATGACGGTACTCAACGAGTTAAAATTAAGAAATAATCATAATATTTGCAATAGAAAATAGTAATTTATAAAATACACATTTATTTTGTTTGACGTTAATTTTCTCGGAAATTGGAACAAAAGAAATTGCCATTTTTTATCACGACGGTGGCAAACAAAGCCCACGGCCCACCTGATGGTAAGCTGTTACCGTGGCCCATGTACGTCTGCATCAGTCGAAGGCAGAACCTATGTTTATAATGAACTTAGTAATTTACTAGTTCTACTTTGACGTACGTAACTATCAAATAGCAAATGAAAGAATCAACCAGTGTTCTCTTCTAATATGAAAGTAAAGTTTACATACATCTAAGTTTATACAGGGATATATTTTATGTAAGTCTATACTATCCTTTTTTACGTATTTCTGTTTAGTCCTAAATACGCTTGCTTCTTGCACCGACCATTGTTTTTGTCTCTGCATCACCCAAAGGTCTGGCTGGAGGAGAATGCCCTAGGCATTAAGCCCACCTTCTACATTAGTGTGTGCATGAAGTCTTTTAAAATAAAAAAATAAAATAAAAATAAAGCAATCTCGTTAATCTCGCGAAATACTTATATCGTTCATCGCTAATAATGGACGATTGCATTCCCTACTGATTTTTTTAACTTAAACGTAGTACTAGCACCACTGTCTATTCCTTTGAGAAATAAGGCTTGAAATTATTTTTACAATTTTGATATCTTCGTTGATTGAGTATGTAGTCGGTTTCTCAGTATATTATGAAAGTTTTATTGAGTATTTTGATTGCAAAAGTTTTGAAATAAGTTATTGACATGGTGCTTTGAAGTTTTAAACTGGAACGGTGTCCAATGTATTAGCTATGATTTGGCTCTTGTATAGCTATGACCGGCGGCTTTGCCCGCGTTATCAAAAAAGAAAAATAGCGTATCGGCCAGCTTCAATAACCTATTAGATCTATATTTAAATTTGCTTATAGAGATAGAATTTTGAAATCACTCTGCAATCTCCTGACTACACTTTAACCAGATCCCAGACAGAAACTCGAACCATAAACTTTCGCGATTACTTAAAATATTACTAAGAATTATGATTGCTTCGTCAAGTTATTTATCGTTAACGTATCTTACTTGGTATAACATGTAATTGCTGACAAAGTTTTATTGAGTTTTTTTATGACAAAATTCTCGGTAATAAACCAATATCACGAGGCTTTGAAGTTTCAGCCTAAAACTGTGCTGAGCGTATAGAAACTCGGTACCTTATTTTGAAGGACTTATAATTCCCAGAAAAAAGAGATTTACTATTAGTTCATGTTCATTTTTGTCACGTTTTGGTATCAAGCAAATGTGATCAGGCTTTTTTTTTGAGAGGGGAAAATCATCGAATGACTTCTCCTGCCTGGGTGAGGCGAGAGGTAGTGTCAGTCTCTTACTGACTAAAAATCTCGCCGTTCCTACTTCTATTCTTCGAGCCGGAGCCTCGGCAAACCGAGTCCTCCGCGGCTCCGTATCGGCATCGGCTCTATTGGGCCCCATCAGTGGTGGTCTAATAGCTTTTTGAGGCGCGCGCGGATAGCGACACGCCGTATGCTTAGGTCTGGTTCTGGTCGGGCGGCGAGCTACCCATGCTCGCCGCTGCTTCTTTAAGGAAGAGACGGCATCCCAGTCCTAAATGTGACTAGACTATGTTGTTATGTAGGTATGACTGAATTTCTTACAGAAGCCTTTCATGAGTGTCGTTCATAACGTAGCTGGTTAAAAGAATTCTGATAACTCTCCAACCGGCTTGCCAAGCGTGGAGATGGTAAACACCATTTTTATAAAGGTAAAAATCCCCAGTAAAACTGCTCGACCCGGGAATCCAATAGTACTTACAACGACGATTGGTCCACAGAGAAAGACTGCTATCTCTCTAACACTGAACTGAAAATTGGATCAAGTTAAACTCCCAATATGTCTTCCCTAGTAACTACCACAAACTTAAGTAGATATCGGTAGCTAAATCTACAAATCTACATCATATTGATATTACATTACTTGAGCAAAGAATACGTGATCTATCCGCGATTCGTAGGGATTGCAAACAAACAGAGCTGTGTACAATGAGATCTTAGATTCGTGACAAGAGCCATAACATGGCGCTTTTGTCTCTTGAGCTGTAGGCTGAGGTGTTGAGAGGCATGTTATAACTATGTACCACGCATTTTTCGCATAAGTATTTTATCTGTTAGTCCATTGCTCGACTGCCTTCTTTATAAAGAGTTTTGCTATAATTTCTATAATGGTCAGGCGTGTTTGAAATCGCAGTAGAAGGTTCATGTTTATCAGTGAGTGCTCCTACCAAAAATGTCGGCTCCTACGATATCCCCGGGTTGAGTAAGGATGGTGTCTAAGGTTTCTACTCTACTGTCACTTAGCTGGTCTGTTAGTAGGTAATTGTATTTATTATATTATCTCCGCAAAATACAGAGTACAAATTAGAAATTAAGATTTTGAAATCGATAAACTGTTGCTTTTCTCAACCTGTTGATTGAATCGCAAACCTCGCGTCTGACAAACACAGTTACTTATTATACAGCCAATCAGGCTTTTGATGCTTATTCCTTAGAGATGAGTACCACTTAAACCCGATTAAACCTTTTTTAATTTATATAAGATCCTTTTTGCAAATAAACCCGAAATAAACGTATTTGTCGAGCAAAGATTACCCTCTAATTACTCCCCAATAAGCTCTAGAGCCTATCGATATAATCCGATAATCGATTTGAACGGGAAACTAAGAAGATTGGCCTATTAATATCACGCTTCTACGGCGCATCCTCAGTTGCTATCGATTGATCAAAATTATATTTAGATGAGAAGCATCTTAGACGGTGCTTCGGTATCGCGGCCAGTCGATACTAGTCACATCTCTATTGCCTTACATGGAGGGAGGACGCCCTCACTTGTTCTTTAAAAAAGTCCTTTGAAAATTGTCAAGTAAGAATTGATTTATTTATTTATTCTTTGAATAATTTTAAAGACGTTTTGTTTCTTATTGATTTGCTTTAAAAGTTTAACGGCTTTAGAGGTAAGTTTTATCGATGATAGTGATGGGTCTTGTTTAGTAAAAAGTCGTTGGGTTTTTATTTATGCGGTTTCATAGCAAGATTAATTAATTTGTAACGTTTGCGTTTAAACAGTAAGTCCTAAATAGTTTGTCTTGTCTTTTTTGGTAAAAATTAAGACGTTGGTTGAGCGTGGCAGTTAACCCACTCCTAACATACTAAGGCAGTAGTGGTTTCGATTTCTGTATTAAACAGAAGTCTGACGGATTTATATTGGGAATTTTCAAAGAATTTTGCTCGGGATTAAGTGAAAGAAACCTTCTAGAGAACTTATGTAGGCGTTTCATTTACCCACGAGTTACTTACGACGAGGGGTGTAGGGCGTGGTAACATTTTCTTATAGGGAGCGAATTTTTTACCCCTCATCATTTCTATTTTTTATAATTTGAATATCAACAGTTTAAAACCTCGATATGGCTTCCCAAGGAATTACTTTTTTAATTTCGTGAAACCTTTGTAGTTATCCCTAATTCCCTAAGAGGGGCGGTCCCCTCCGCTCTTCTTTGTCTATGGTGCAGCGTTGAGTATAAAAGTCGGTCAAATAGATTTATTTGAGGAGTTTGCCGTTTAGACTCGATGGAGACGCACGTCTTCATTATGTGTCGTGGATATGAGGACTTAGTTTTGAAGAACATGAAAGTTTTATTTTTGAATATGGTGGGACGAAAGTTAAAATTATTGGGTTTTAGGTAAATCATTCAGTGATTTTAGTACGCTTTAATTTATAGAGAGGTCTGATTTAATCTTCTAAGACTAACTGAGATATTTGCCTCTTCATGGATATTGGCTGGAATTTACGTTGATTATCCGAATTTACTTTGATTTTGTTTCAATATAGATATTTGTGGTTTTTATTCTACCTATACATTTATTATATTTCAGCCGCGATCGTCCCACTGTATAAAAACCCTCTCTACCATTGGTCGCTATGCAAATCTTCACTAATATTTATTTTTCCCAACAGTAAAACCTGTGGCGACAGCGCTGAAGAGACTACGGTTGTCCCGAGATGACTTCGAGCTGGTGAAGGTGATTGGACGCGGCGCCTTCGGAGAAGTTTGCGTCGTCAGAGCCTCGTTTATGCAGGTACGATAGTTTATGAGAATGTTTGATAAGTTTTTTCCGAGTAAATTGAAATTTTATTCATGTGCCTGAATAAGCCTGAATACCGAAAGGTTACTCAATATTAAGTTGTTCTTAAATATCGTGCCATATTTTATTTATTCGGGAAAATAAACAGTGACACATTACATGATACGTTATGATGACACAATACATAGGTAGTTCGAACAAATGTGTAGCCAACGTCGTTTACCATTTTGTCTTTGGTTATTCTACAAAGAATTTGTTGTGACAGAACCCATATATCGCCAAGCGGCCACCGGTGACCGCTCTCCACTAACTATATTATAGACCTTATTTCCGATGTTTAGAGACTACTTTTGTATGAACAAATTTAGGGGATGATTTTTAACAGGTTAAGCGCGACGTAAAATTGAGTGGCGTTTGAGTATTTCAGCGTTAGTGTTTCGCGTGGAGTGGGTGCTATGCGTTCTTTAATATATCTTTTCTTATCTACCGTCTGAACTAGATTAAAATCAGGAATGAAAATCTATTTTACTGCATACTGCGTAAGTGCAGCAGACTGCCTCGTTGGCCGAGTGGTCGTAAGTGCGACTGCCGGGCTAGGGGTCTCGGGTTCGATTCCCGGGTCGGGCAAAGTATTACTGGGTTTTTTCAAATATTCTCAGTAGTAGCACGGAGTCTGGAATTGTGCCCGGTATATGGCAATAGGTCCACCCCCTATTACATGGGACTCATAACATAAATAGTGAAAGTGGGTGTTACATTGTACAGTGGTATAATGTGCACCTCTGCCTACCCCTTGGGGGATAAAAGGCGTGATGTTATGTTACTGCGTAAGTGCTATATAAGAAGCAATTCTGCTATCCGCTCTTCACTCTTTTTACTGTTGATTTCAATGCCCTCAAAAATCTCTGTATCGATCTTTTTTTTTAACAAGACCTCCATGCAACTAATGTCTATAATAATTTTATATTCCAACTGTAACAAACACTTTTCTGATAACCGCATCCAAATCGGTTCAGCCAATCGCGAGATAATCTCGCACAAACATACAAACAAATTGAGAACCTCCTTCTTTTCTGAAGTCGGTTAAAAATCAATCCATGTCTACGATCTTAAAATAGTTTATTGAAAGTGACAGTGAATTAATGACTAGATTTCTTTGGCTAACAGTAGGTACCAATAACAAACGTAAAATGTGATTCGTCGTTTTATCCGTATTTGTTAGGTCTAAAATTATTTAGAACGGTCACAATGAGATATATTAAAGACTAGCTACTTCCGCGCGGTTTCACACGCTCTGCTCAGCTCCAATTGGTCGTAGCGTGATGTTTTATAGCCTATAGCCATCCTCGATAAATGCGCTATCCAACACAAAAAGAATTATTCAAATCAGACTTGTAGTTACGGAGATTAGCGCGTTCAAACAAACAAACTCTTCCGCTTTATATAATAAATAGTAAAAGTAGTAAAAGAAGAGCGAAATTTAAAATACCCTTAACCGACGAACGTGCTTGAAAAGACTTACGCCTGAATACTGAAAGAGTACTTAATTTAAAGTCGCGCTTACGTATAGTTCTGTCACTAAAAAATCTATAGGAATGACAAAGATGGCACGATATTTAAGTGCAACTTATAATTGCGTAGCTTCCAGGGTATCAAAATTAAAAATCTAATTAGTCCGTCAGTTAGATAATGAAAAATATTAGACACGTATATTTTTATTTTAATGGGGCTAAGTTTAGGAGTGGTAGGTCGTTACGTCATAACGTGTTACAAAATGTGGCACGTTGTGACGTCACACGATATTTCAAATTAATATATCGTCGAAAGTATTTTTTTTTTGTGAGAGAAGAAAAAAATACGTGTATAAAGTTTTAAATTAATGTGCACCAGATGGACATTAAAATAAAATTTAGGAAACTACCCTGTAAGTAGCTTTTCAAAATCTAACATGAGCGAGACAAGCGTGAGCTGATGTATTTATGTACAATGAACAGTATGGAACAATATGGATAGGTTAACGAGCGAAACTTCCCGATTGGTGGGCAATCCTGGGCGTTATTATTGTTCAAGATCTATTCCGCGCACTTGTCGTATCATTTTTCATATCATCATCAACTGCCTATAAAAGCCCACTGCTGAGCAAAGCCTCTTCTCACACGGAGAAGGTTTGAGCATTAATCACCACGCTTGCTCAATGTGGGTTGGCGATTTCAAACTTAAAATTAGAAATTATAAGTCCAGGTTTCCTCACGATGTTTTTCCTTCACCGTTTGTCAGTGGTGTCTAAATAATCTTAGAAAGTACATATAACTCGGAAAAAGTCACATTAGTACTTGCCGTTAGTAGGTTTCGAACCCGCACCCTCATGCATGAGAAGTGGACGTCTTAAACCTCCGGGCCACCACGACATTATCATTTTTCATATAAAATTTATTAATTTTGTCACAGGGCACTGATGGCGGTAACCTAACCACTTCGACTACGGGGACCACGGGCACCGGGGAACGTGTATACGCCATGAAAATACTCAACAAATGGGAGATGCTCAAGGTATGTTATTGTTTTAAATGTATGTAATGTTATCTTTAGGGTATGGTTTATTTATCATTGTCGTCGTAGGTGATGCAGATTATGGACTTGGGAGAGTCATGCTTTGGTGTGAATGAGCCGTCTCGAACCGAGTGATACGATAGGCCCAATTCCCCAATCTCCTCATTCCCCGAATCCCCAACAATCCTCATATCTATGATAGAACATTCGTGAGACAGACTGAATTAATTATTATATTTTTCGGCTTACTCACATAATTATTTGACGAGAATCGAGGGAGTAGGCCGAGCCGAGGGAGTAAAACATAATAATTAATCCTCAAATTCCTAATCCTGAAAAGGCCGGCAACGTACTTGTAGCGCCTATAGTGTTTCGGATGTCCATCGTCAGCGCCGATGTCTTACCATCATGGTGATCCGTCCGCTCGTTTACCGGTTTATCTTATACAAAAACAGTAGTTTCGTATGTCATCTTAAAATTGTTGTAAATAGGGAATAGGGAAAGAATGAGAACATACGTTTAGTATCAGACATATATTATTTTTAAAGAAAAGGACAACTTAAAACAAATTAAAGTTTAATAGGATAGGCTGGCTACGTCCCTTGTGTATTCCTTCTACGTACATTGTGTACGAACTAGTGACGTCATTTGATATTTTATCTATTTCATTAAATCGCCCATAGACTCTGCAAATAATTAAAAAAAAAACGAGACGCGTTTAATATTTCTAACTGATCTACAAGATGGTCATTAAACAATTGACTGCACGGTTGGCGCGATGGCTGGGCAACTGGCTGCTGCGAATCGTGTCGCAGGTTCGAATCCCACACGAAAAACTTTTTGTGATCCACATTTGTTCCGGGTCTGGGTGTTATGTATATGTGAACATAACTTGTATGTTTGTAAACGTACCCATGACACAGGAGAAGATCCTAGTGAGGGTTAATATATACCATATTTCTATGTATATGTGTATGTTGTCAGAGGGCGGAGACGGCGTGTTTCCAAGAGGAGCGCGACGTGCTCGTGTTTGGCGACAGGCGGTGGATCACAAACCTACATTACGCCTTCCAGGATGAACACAACTTGGTCAGTATAATATGAATCCACTTATAAAATCAACCTATATTAAGTAACAAATTACACGTTTTACCAAAGAAACTTTTTCGAGGATTCTCGACTAATTTGAAGCTACGCCGGAGCTTATGAAATTATTCGAGAATCGTCAAGTAGTAAGCCATATGTTTTAATTAAGTTGTATTTGTGATTTTGGCCTTCTTGATTAAGTTTTCACAAAGAGCTCGTGAAAGTACATCACTAGAGTAAGGCCTTTTCTGCAAAAAAGCCATGATTTCCAGTTTCACACTTGGCAAGTGATTTAGAGATAATTTCAGAGAGATGTCTATACATAATACATCTCTTTAATCACTTCATATTCTTCATAATCAACAGCCCATAAGTAGCTACTGCTAAATAGCCTCTTCCCTCGCGCGGAGAAGGTTTGAATATTAATCACCACACTTGCTAAAACTCCAACTTATGATTAGATATTATAAGCTCACCATTTGTCAGTGGTGTCTAAATAATCCACAAAGTACAATAACTCGGAAAAATTTACATTGGTACTTGCCGTTGGTAAGTTTCGACCAGCACTCTCGTGCATGAGAAACTGCGTCCTAAATCCCCTGGCCACCACGGTCTCATCTCATGAATAACTTGTACAAATAGTGATGAAGACAGGGTATGAAAATTAAAAATCTAATTAGTCCGTCAGTTAGGTAACGAAAAAATATTAGACACGTATTTTTTTATTTTGATGTATAATAAAATTATACTTAGATGTAACGAATCAAAGTTTAGGAGTGGGGCTAAAACGACATTTCTACGTATAAAATGTACATAGAAGTGACGTCACGCGACATTTGAAATCAATATATCGAGGGGTAACGGGCTATTTGGTTTAAGCGACATTTTTGCAACTTTACAGGAGAGCCTTTTAAAGTTTGAAATTTCGAAAAAAAATTCATAACAAAAACGCTTCTGCAGATATTTGAACGGGGTAAATTGCATTGAAATTTAAATAAAAATATCTAGTTGCTGATGCTAATTCCAAATAAAGCGGACCTTTAATTACAAAGATAAATGTCGCTTAATACAATCTGCCCTTTTTTAGAGTCAGGAAAAATGATTTAAGTGACTTCATAACTACAATTGGCTACAAGGGAAAAAAATTAAGCGACGATGCACTCTATTTACAGAGTAAGCCAAAAAGTATGAAGTAACGAAACCCAAAATAAATAGAAGCAAGCTATTTATCTCAACTACCAATTTAGACTAAAATGAGTAACAGGCTAATTTACTTATGTGACATATAACATTGAAATTGTATCGTTAAATGTTTATGTTTATTTACATCTAAGACGATTAATGGCTGATAAAACAACCTGGATATATCGAAACAACCGAAAATCTCAGGTGCTTACATCGGATAAATAAACACAACACAATATCAAAGTATTTATTTAGATTAATAATAACAGTCTGCATAGGAACAACGATTATATTATTATTTATTCAGCAAAATCAGATAAATTAATGGGTTATTTACTGAAATTGCCGTTTTGTATGAAAAAATTTAAACGATTTTTTTCATGTATTTTTTATTTGTATTTATCGAAGTAATCACCCATGTAATCAATGCATCGTTGCCAACGCAGTGGCAGTTTATTGGGCATCAATAAACTGCCACAAAATACTTCTTAAACAAATCAGCTGGACGGGTGGCAACAAATTCTTTAAATGCATTTTGTACTGCCTCTCGGGTAATGAATTTTTTTCCCGCGAAGAAGTTATTCAAATTCTGGAAAAGAAGTAGTCTGGTGAGTAGGGTGGATATTGGAGAGCTTCCAACCCCAGTTCTTGTAACTTGGAGACCATCTGTTGTGCAGCTTTAGGTCGCGCGTTGTAATGCAGGAGCAATGGAGATGAGCGATTGACCAGTGCTGGTTGGAGATGTGTCAGCTTCTCCATCATTGTGTTCAGTTCTTCACATTACACATCCGCAGTAATGCTCACTCCGTTTGGTAAGAACCTGTGATGAATCAGACTGGCGCTAGACCATCAGTGACCATCACTTTTCTAGGAGTAAGTTTTCGTTTCGGGTATTGTTTAGGTGCTGAACTAACTACTACTACAACTATGTTGAGCAGTGCAAGGCACTGCTCGATGCATACTTAGCTCTGGCGATCATTGAGTTTGTGGGACACCCACTTGTCAAGTTTTTTTACCTTGCCAATTTGACGTAAATGGACCAATATTGTTTTGATGCTAACGTCGAAAGCTGTTGCTAAATCAGCCGTAGATTGTATGTCATCAGCTTCCACAATAGCCTATTGTCACCAAAGTCTTCGGACGACCGCGAGGTTGATCTTGAAATTAAAGTACTTAGGATTCAATTTCGATGAGCGTTTTACGTAAACACTGGCGGTGAGTGCGCGTCCCGTCTGTCTTCGACGCATTCTGGAGTGACTGAAGCGCCAGCGCACGATAGTCCAGTTGGATGATCACGATTTTTAACACCCGGGCGATGAAATAAATATAGTATCATATGACATGATTGAAATGTACCATATTAAAATTTAGTGATTTAAAGACCGATTCATATTTTTATGAATACTGGCAAAATGTTTCAATATCCATTATTAATGTTATCATCTGTATAAAACGACATGCATTTTAAAAAAAAGGAGGGCTAAATGATTTATGACTAAACAAAATATCTGAACGAAAACGACTATTTGGTTTAAGTAGCACCCTGCGTGGAAAATAAAAGCAGCTAGAAGTGTTTAAGAGACGAACCATGTCGTATTTGGGTGACGGATAAATGTTTTAAGCGACAACACACCGTGTGATTAGTGGGAAGTCAAAATGATTCAAGTTACTTGCTAGTAAAAATTAGAAACAGGAAAAACGCTTTAACTCATTTTGACTTATTAATTAGAGATAGGGTGACTGGTTTATGTCTCGGTTATTAATATGATGGTATGGTTCAAGTACATAATTTAATAAAAAATGCGAAATCCATGTCGTTTAATACACTGTCACTTTGGAAACAACACGAAAATAGAATTGTTTGAAACGCCAAAAAAGTGCTCCGATTTTAATGAAACCGGCATCAATCGACGGAGAAAAATTCGCTGATTCCGAATATATATATAACTCAATATCGCCCAAAATGTCGCTTAAACCAAATAGCCCGTTACCCCTCGATATCACCGAAAGTATTTGTTTCTGCATAAAAATTAAAAAATAAGTGTGTAATGTTTTACAATAGTCTACCAGACGGACATTAAAATAAAAATTAGTCATCTACGATATTGTTTAACCTTTTACTTCATCTTCTAGTACCTGGTAATGGACTACTACTGCGGCGGCGACCTGCTGACGTTACTATCGAAGTTCGAGGATCGTCTCCCGGAGGACATGGCCAAGTTCTACATCGCTGAAATGGTGCTAGCCATACAGAGCGTGCACGAACTTAGATATGTTCATAGGTTTGTAGTTTTTATGTACAAGTGTTGTTTTAAAGCCGCGTCATTTTCGTCCGAATCAATAAAAAATTTGTAGGTAAATAATTTTCATTTTTCTTCAAATTACGGAAATCCGTAAGTGCGAACTACACGCCGCCGTCTTGTAACTAGCTTTATAACGTGGCTTAACACACAAATTCAAACACGTAATTGATATTATTCCTAATTCCAATTCAAAACTCCAATAAGAACTAAGAAGCTGTGCTGTCGCTTTTTCTGAAATACTGTACAACTTAAACGATTTATTATAGCCGTATTTTTAACTATTGGCTCGAAATTTTCTCTTACATTGAACCTTTATGACTTCTGTGACATGCCCACGAGAAATGACACGGCTTCAAAACTACACCTTGTATATCTTATGTCATCATTTTTCTTGATATGTTTATTCGCACGAGATGGAGAATTGGAAACAAGAAAGATGTTTGACTACTTTAGGAAATTTCTCGGAAGGTGAATGAAAAAAAAATATGAATCAGACATATCACAAAAGATAGTCCTTTCTATAGGGTAGGACAGTACTAAAAATAATTCTACTTCTTCTGGGTAATCCTTAACTGGTTTTACTGTTTTGTAACAAAACAACTCTGTCTTTATCTAGTACCGGGAAATCGGGTGCCTTCCACGCAAAACACTCGGGTTCAATCCTTGCCCCGAATGTTTCTTTTATTTTTTCTGTTTTCTATTTTATCTTTTGTTCTATTTTATTTTATGTATTTTGTTCTATTTTTATTTCTAACAAATATGTACTAAAACACGGAGCAAAGGTCGGTCATCCATATACTTAATAATAATATAACATAAGGCCTTTTATCCCCGAAGGGGTAGTCAGAGGTGCACATAATGGCACTTATTGCCACTGTACAATGTAACACCCACTTCTCACTATTATATTATGAGTCCCATGTAATAGGGGGTGAGCCTATTGCCATATACCGAGCACAATTCGAAACTCCGTGTCACTACGAGACCCATTGGCCGGCAGACGCACTTGCGACCACTCGGTCATCGAGGCAGTACTTAATAATATATTATGGTAATATAGTAAAGAAATGAATACTATGCAATAGAAACTGCTCTTGCTTGCTTTACATAATTCTGTTCACGAACAACATGTGACATCCTACTGCTGAATTATGGCTCTCTAAGTAAAAGGGTTTTTAATTATATTACCTTTTCTTCTCTAGGGATATAAAACCAGACAACGTATTACTAGACGCGAGTGGTCACATTCGTCTAGCAGACTTCGGTTCCTGTCTCCGGCTTGGAGAAGATGGCAAGGTGCAGAGCAATGTGGCAGTCGGCACACCTGATTATATCTCGCCGGAGATATTACGGGTAAGATATATACTGAAGATATTTGACAAGATATGTATTGGATAGAAGACGATGGTAACTTCCTAGCCCTTTTACAAAGCTCGGACTGACTCGACTGCACGGTTGGCGTGGTGGCTGGGCAACTGGCAACGTGTCGCGGGTTCGATTCCCGCACGGAACAACTCTTTGTGTGATCCATAGATTGTTGTTTCGGGTCTTGGTATCATGGGTATGTGAACTTGTATGTTTGTTAACGCACCCACGACACATTTTTTTTTTTTATTTTTTTTTTTTTTTAAGGGGGGAAAATCATCGAATGACTGCCCCCGCCTGGGTGAGGCGGGAGGGAGTGTCAGACTCTTACTGACTAAAAACCACCCCGTTCCTTCTCCTGCACGTCGAGCCGGAGCCCCGGTTACCCGTTAGGTTCTCCGCGACCACGACACATAAGAAATTTCTAGTGTGGGGCAATGTTTATTTAAAAAAAAGCTTCAGCAATGCCTCTAAACTTGGTTTGACATCATCATCATAAGCCTAAAAGTTTCTACTGCTGACTACAGGCCTGTTCTCACACGGAGAAGGTTCGAGCATTAATCACCACGCTTGCTCAATGCGGTTTGGTTATATTGCGGTATAAAAATGTGAAAAAAAATCTAAACATTAACGGCCATAAAATAAGTTCAATGACCATGTTTTTATCTTTGTTTGCAGGCTATGGAAGATGGCCAGGGAAGGTACGGGCCGGAGTGTGATTGGTGGTCGTTGGGTAAGTGCTTTAGTTTTACTTTTTAATCTATTCCTCGGGGGCATGTCACAGAAGTCATAAAGGTTCAATGTAAGAGAAATTTTCGGGCCAATAGTTAAAAATACGGCTGTAATAAATCGTTTAAGTTCGACAGTATATCAGAATAAGCGACAGCAATGTTTCTTATTGGAGTTTTATGGAATTAGGAATAATATCAATTACGTGTTTGAGTTTGTGTTTAAAAAATGACGCGGCTTTAAAACAACACCTTGTATAAATAAAAATGAATTTCCGTTCGTTAGTCTCGCTGAAACTCGAGAACGGCTGAAACGATTTTGCCAATTTTGGCCTTGAAATGTTCGTGGAAGTCCAGACTTTAAAAAAAGAGTGGTTGAAGCCGGGTTTTTAAACGTAGTTTGTTGAATAATTATTGAATACTAGCTGACTTGGTACCGGCTATAAAGAATTGAACCTTACCTTGACTTCTACGAACATTCATTTTTATTCATATAGATTTTTACATGTTTGTTAAATGACAATGACCAAATTTGTATGGAGCGTGGTGCCTTTTAATTTTTTCGCGGCAGTTGATCGGATGTGGAAAAACTGATGGAGAATAACATTACAAACAAAAAAATATACGGCGTCTTATATCAAAAACACAGTCCGAACCGAGTTATGTCAGTTCAAAGATGTGAAAATAGTAGTATATTATTCCTGTTATTTTGATGATGGTGACCGTACACAACACATATTTCTTCATTTACTTGTCAAAAATATTTTGTAATAAATGTGTATAAACGATTTCAAGGAATATAGTAAAGCTTGTTGTGGACTTACTTATTTTTTTTTGTTTTTTTTTTTTTTGTTATAAGGTCAAGGAATTGGAACAGATTGAACCATTAATTGGCCACTGCTGAAATTAAAAAAAAAAAACATTTCGCTTGATTGGCTAGCGTATTCACTTTGTATGTATACTACGGTTTAAGGCCTATGTCAGATTTTCATGATCAATTTCCTCTTAGTCGAAAACCCGCAAAGTACTTTACTGAGCCTTATCATGAAATGCTATGTTCGTCAACTGAGACATCGGTAGCGGATACACGAAAAAAAACGTTTTTCTGTCTACTTCTCCCGACTTACTTCCGATTAGGAACTAATCTAACTATAGTTAATACTTTTATCTACATCTAGCATAAGATTCTGTACGAAGATATCATCACTCAGTCACAAAGTGATGGATAATCCATATCGACTGATCACATTATATGAAAAAATTATGCGCTCATCTGACGTATAGTCCATCACTTTACAAAGTCGACGGTTTCTTTTCTTTAAAATATTATGCTAACTATAAAGTAGATGAGTCTATCACCAGGAGTCAAAGGCAAAAAAATAATACTTTTTTAAATTTTTGGACGGCTACCACTACTCAACCCACCACTGGTACCTCAGCTGACGCTCATGGAGCTTCATGACACAACTCCTAGAAGCATCCCACAAATTATCGACTGAGAGAAAATAGCAAATAAAAATTAGTGCTTGGCAATATGGATATATTGTGGAGTGATATGGTGTTCCTATGCCCGGCGTACAGAGGCGCGCAATTTGAAGTTAGGAATTGTGACAAAAATATGAATAATTAGAATAAAAAAACCAAAGTAAAATGTTTGACTTCAGCTCTTTTCGACGCTCATAACTCAGTCCAGACTGAGATTTCCATATATGAGCCCATAGACAATTTCGTTTGTAATGTCATTCTAGATAATATTTTCCATAAATCATCGACTGCCGCCAGAAAAAAGAAAGGCACCAATTTTAGTCAATGCCCTTTTTCTGTAGGTGTATGTATGTACGAGATGCTATTCGGCGAGACCCCGTTCTACGCGGAGTCTCTAGTGGAGACGTACGGCAAGATCATGAACCACGCGCGCTCCTTCCACTGCCCACCTCCTGATGATCATGCTGCACAGGTACGGTGTTACAGGAATTTCTTTTTCTTAGACATACTAGGGGGCTTACTCTTGAATCCAATTCTGATAGATCGACATTGACATTGTGAAATTTCGTACTCTTGAGTTGCTGCACTAGTGCCTATTATAATAATAATAAAATAATTTATTCAAAAAATATAAACAGAAATTTCGTATGTCTTAATTCTATATGCTGCTATGTTATTCCATGTGCCTGAACTAGGTTTGAAACCTGTACCTCAGGCAATAAAAACCGCTTAGAATAGAGAACTTAAGGTCTAATTAACAATAATTATATAATCATTCTTATATTAAATTATTTGATTACTCAAATTTTACCTATATATAGAAATGTATACCTAATCACTTAATAAATTAACTTGTTTCTAATTTTATTTACATACAGTCAGCAAAAATTCGGTCTGGTCATAAGTCAGTTGTTGCAAATATGTGCTGACACGTTTTTTGCATTGATAGCAATTCAAGTTGTAAATACAAAGTTGCTTATTTAGCCTATTATATAAGTAGGGTCCTAGAAAACTATAGAATTTATTACTGTACATAAATTTTGAGGTCGAGTGCGAACTGCAAACTATATCATTTCGTCTCTTCTTTACAGTGTTGGTATCATAAGGGCTATATTGCAATATTGCATCCGTATTGCGTGGTTATTGAATAAAATCGATGGTACTGAGTTTGGCATTATATTCCGTACTCTGAATGCTATTTCAACAGCTTGTATAGAATGTACATTTGGCTGTATAAGCACAATAAATCTCTAACTAAGTTCGTCTTTTTAATTTTCTTTTTCCCGTTTCATTTAAGTGGTCATAAACTAGAATTTCGTACTTCGGCTTACTCACGTAATTATTTGACTAAGGACGACTAGTTTCAAGCCCTGTTAGAGACTCATATTCATGAGCCTCCCGTTACCCGCGACGCAGCGACTGTCTCGTTGCTGGTTACTGGTTTCAAATTCATTAACCTCTTGTCTATCGGCACGTGAGACAATAGAAAACACATTGTGACTCGCGTATATCTATTTTCCGACATACCAGGGTTTAATAGGTTTGGGTAAAATATCAATATAATTTTAAAGTTTTGTATTGTATTCATTGTATCTTTATTTATAGGTTTCAGAAGAGGCGAAGGATTTAATCCGCAGACTGATTTGCTCTTCCGAGAATAGATTAGGAAAAAATGGACTGCAAGACTTTAAGGTGAGACTTATTTTAAGTGTTATTTAGGATAACTGTAAGCGACACCTCTGTTGTTGCAGACAAAACTACGATATCTGCTTTGTATTAGGCGCATCGTAAGTCTGTTTGGCACGGAGCCGCGGAGGACTTAACGCTTTCCCGGGGCTCTGGCTCCAAGTGCAGTAGGAACGGGGTGGTTTTTAGTCAGTAAGAGTCTGCCACTCCCTTTCGCCTCACCCAGGCGGGAGAAGTCATTGGATGATTTTCCCAGCTCAAAAAAGTCTGCTTGGCATTTCAGTTGTAAAAAAAAACCAAGTCTGTGACTGTCATTGCCCATTGATTCGATTCATCTGATAAGTAAATATGTGACCTAATTTATTGAGAAATAAGCTATTTATTGTCGACATGTCTTTATTTATTATCAACACTGTAATATTTCAATTTACTATTTACAAATTATTCATAATATAATAATTTTCTGTCAGAATCACCCATGGTTCGCGAACCTGGACTGGGAGAATCTCCGCGAGATGCAAGCACCGTTTGTACCGGACGTGTCCAGTCCCACCGATACTTCTAACTTCGATGTTGATGACACTGATATCAGGTAAAGTATACATTATCGTAAGGTAGGTTACTATTTGGATAAAAAAATAAACCTACGTAGTATTTCATAATATTCTTGATCAGACTCAAGTTGGAACGGAAGGAACTTAAAAATGTATTGGTATTTCATAATTGAAAGTACTTACCTATGTTTTTTAATGGATTGAAGTTGGACGCGACTTTAGAGTACACACGAAATAGTGGTTGCGTTTATCTTTGTTTGTCATGAAGTTTCTTTTTCTTTTTTAAAAATTTTGCACCATATTAGGATTTTCTCCTGTGTCGTGGGTGTATTTACAAACATACAAGTTCACATACACATCACACACAGACCCGGAACAGCAATTTGTGGATCACACAAAGAGTTGCTTCGTGCGGAAATCGAATCTGCGATACGTTGCGCGGCAGCCGGCTCTGCCCAACCACCGTACTAACCGTCAATGCCGAGTTTAGGGATTACTTTTGAAAGTCCTATAGATGATAATATTGTATTTAAATCAATTATATTCATTTAATAAATACACCATATTTCACTAAAAACTCCTTCAATTTCTTTAAACATTCTAAGTAACCTATGTATGACTTGTACTACGCAGTATAGTAACTCCAAGTGGTCTGTCAGGTTGTCGGAGGCGGTCCCCCCGCCGTGCGCGTCGTCCGCGTTCTCCGGGCTGCACCTGCCCTTCGTGGGCTTCACCTTCACGGCCGGCTCGCGGCTCTCCGACCTCGGCGCGCCCGCCAGCCCGCTCAGTCCTGCCAAGAATGCGCCTAGTCAGGTAAACTTAATATCATAGTCAATAATAGGATGACATAGAGACCCCGACAATGTGGAGAAGCTTGTGCTTAACGGAAATAGACCTCATGGTCGTTCACCTATCCGTTGGCTAGATGCTGTAAAAAACCTCACCGGCCTGACAGTTTCACAAGCCATAAAGACTGCAGGGAACAGGGCCGCTTGGAGGAGAGTTGTGCTTCAAGTGACGCGTGCACCAGATTAGCAAGACCTTCAGAAATGAAGAGAACGACTAAGAAAATGGAATAATAGTTGTTAGCCCACCAAATTTGCAATGGGCGGCGTTGATGGGTTATCACCAAGTGATCCATCGCTCGTGTTTTCACGTGTAAATTTTGTTAATGTTTACGTACAAAATGTAAGCATTAATAACGTCCAACACATAAAAAAATGGGGCGTTACCATTTTTGCTTACAAATTGCGCCAATATATGAGATTTTATTTTGACCAATCACAACAGCTGTCAAATATTGTACGTCCAATGGTGGTGTCTCATTCCCCATTGGACGAAGAACTAGAGGTGCACACTAGCCCCATCTGGTGAGCAAAGATACAGTAGGCCCTAACGGGAGGGCCATCCTTAGACATTAGTCAAGCCACAGTGATACCACGGCTTCGCAGAAATCGACATGAAACCAACCTTTTGTAACGTTACTGGTGTTATACATTTCTACGGGCAGCACCGATTACTTACCATCAAGTGATCCGTCTGCTCGTGTTTTAACTCGTCGAGTACCGTCAATATAGACATAATTATAGAACAATAGATTGCGGTCACCGGTGACCGCTTGGTGTTTGACAGTTTAATGTGTAGAATTTTGTTAATGTTTACGTACAAAATGTCAGCATTAATAAAATAAATAAAAAAAATAAAAATAAAAATTGTTTATTGTACAAAATTTCACAATATTACATTCACAGAAATGCGGCAATTACATGAACGAGTGTGAATTACGATCGATACTGACACTGCCCTCCAAACTAAGCTATAAGCTTGTATTTTGGAAAACAGTGATTCAAGCGTGGAGTATGTCACAAAGTCGCATTATATGTCACTCTATAATGAAGTGAATGTCATGAAAGTGAATGAATGAAATGGGAGGAGCTGTAATCCAAAACAAAATAATAAAATATAAAGGGAATGTTAAAAGGACTACTTATAATATCGTCCGAAATATTTTTATAAGGCTTAGCAATAATGTGTTCAATTTTTCCCAGGCACCAAGTAACGCGGGCGATCGAGCGGCGCTAAAAGCTTTAGAGCGAGAAAACGCGTTGTTAGCTCAGACCATCGCAGAACTAAGGGCCGGGGGCGCTGCGCCAGAGGGCGCTAGTGGTAAGCTATACAATATATACATAACATTACATCACGCTTTTTTATCCTCGAAGCAGTAGGCAGAGGTGCACATTGCGGCAATTAATGCCACTATACAATGTAACTCCCACTTTTCAGCATTTATGTTATGAGTCCCATGCAACAGGGGTGAGCTTATTGCAGGCACCGGGCAAAATTCCAAACTCCGTGCTACTACTGAGAATTTTTTTAAGAAACTCAATAACACTTTTGCCCGACCCGGGAATCGAACTTGAAACCCCTTGGTCGGCAGTCGCATTTGCGGACACTCTGTCAACGAGGCAGTCAGTAATATACAAAGATAGATAAATACAAATAATAGTTTTAAATCTAGTTCTGATAATATCCAAGATTCCTTAACGACAAATCTAAAGAACTTTGATATATTTAAACCAATGTCGCTACAATTTCAAGTGTATCTACACTTCAGATTAAATTTAGATTATGTTCATAATCTCAAGTTCTTATTGCACTTTAGATAAATATTGATTCATGTCATACCTTGCTTAGCATTTCACTATTTAGTAGTAATCACACATTTTTGTTTTAATATAAGGTGTTAACTAGTGTATTATTTACTTATTCACATCTTTATTGGCTAGGTTCAACATGCTTGTCTTCATAGGCCAGGCTACATTTTAGTCTAATTTAGGCATTAATATCTATAATGAATTAGTAATAAAACCTTAAATGAATTCCACAGAAGATTTAATACAACTGAAAGAAGAATTGGCGACGTTATCGAAGAGGAATGCTGATTTAGAGGCTCAAGTTAGATGTTATGAACAATTGAATACTGGCATTAGTACGCAGGTAAGTTGTTATTGTGATTTTTATTGATTTAGATAACCTATATATATAAAAATGAAACCCGTTTCCCGTTGTCACGCCATAACTTGAGAACGGCTAGACCGATTTGGCTGATCTTTTTTTGTTGTGTTTGTTATTGTCAGGAGAAGGTTCTTACGACAGAAAAAGTCCTGAAAATCCTACGGGAACGGGAGAATACTAGATTGCGCGTACGAAGTCGCGGGCAGAAGCTAGTGAACATTATTTTATTCAAAATTCAACTAAAATCAGATATACACAATGTGGCTAACTTGTTGCTATTGATTAAACACACTTTTCATTACTCAATACTGATAAAATAAATTATAATGCATATAGTAGTCTTAAAAGATATCGAGTTTTCTTTGCCATTTTGCGCAAAGAATAGTTTGCGCAAAATTTCGCACAACTTACCCAAAGCAAAACTCCAACTTCATTTGTCCTATGAACCTATTCAAACATATATTTGCGCGACTTTTTAGAATCGGTACACAAAAACGTAATGGTTACACCTTGGTGCAACTTAATACATATTTGCGCAACTTAATACATCTTTGCGCAACTTTATACATCTTTGCGCAACTTTATAAATCTTTGCGCAACTTTATAAATCTTTGCGCATCTTTAAACATGTTTGCACAACTCATTTTAATACGTTTTCCGATGGTATATGGCGCATTTTGGAATTGCGTAACCAATATCTGTTCAATTCTTACAATTACTCATATTTTTTGCTTTACCTATTTATATGATCAATAACATTAATTCTTAGGATATGCCAGCGACCCCACAAGAGATGGCGACCCGTATTCGCGAGATGGAAGTCATCATCCAAGCTCTGAACATGGAGAAGGAGGAACTATTGAAGGACAAAACTGATTCTGCTGAGAAACTTAGGCTGCAGGTAATGTTCGAATTGGTTACTGAGTATTTTTTTTTTTTTTTTTTGATAATATTTTGCCATGTTTACCTTTCTGCCTTTGGCTACGTCGGAGTACAATTTAGGAAGGGTATAACATGGGTCCTTAAGGCCCGAGTGAATAGGTTGCTTATGGATCGACGTGCTACATCGTAGGCCGCATCATCGCCAGGCAAGATGGTACTCTTAGAAGATTTTAAATACTTTATTTCGTGCTATTGAAATCTTAGTGCGAAAAGAAAGATGTTTAGTTCATTTGTTTGGAAATTCTCTATCACATTCTATGGTTGTCATGTGAAATGACTACGATTTTAGGTGTGACGTAATCTGAACATGTTCTCGTACGTATATTCTTTGATATAATGGTGATATGCCTGATATTTAGATGATTGCTTCTCCTCCAACAGGACAAAGAGCTAAAGGACGCACTATCACAACGTAAGCTTGCGATGACGGAGTACAACGAGGTCACTGAACGACTGTCTGAACTCAGGCAACAGAAACAGAAGCTCTCGCGGCAGGTATGTATTCTATGTTTTTAAACAGAATAGCATTGTTAGTCATGATTGGATACGCTTAAACGGAGTGATACGGGCGTGATATAACGCTTGTTTATTTTTTTTCACTACGTTGTGTTGTGTTTCGCTGTGTGAGTGTGGTCAGAGTTGAATATCCTCCCCGCACCCCCTTTTTTTTGGCATAGGATGGTAAAGGGGAGGATTAGGCGTCCCTAGGTGTAATATTTGCATTTCTTCTCAGAGTAGTCAGTTAGGAAATGTCGGCCTCATCGTTCGCTTGATAAAATTGACGTGTAAAAGTGCTGCCTTGTAAGGCTACAGCATTTGCAGAAATAAATTCACTTGTTTCACTTGCTATACTTGTCACTTGTCACTTGTTTCACAAATAAATAAGCGTAGATAATTAAAGAGTTAAATATTTTCTGTTATTTGTAGGTCCGCGACAAAGAGGAAGAGTTAGAAGTAGCGATGCAGAAGATAGATGCGTTGCGCCAGGACATACGGCGCGCTGAGAAGGGACGCAGGGAACTCGAGGCTAGACTCGACACTGCTATCTCTGAGGCTACCAAGGTACTGTATTTACTTATATTGCTGTAAATATTGTAATTTACAAGTATTTTTAATACTACTAGTGTTCTTAATTGATCAAAGAAAATTTTGAATTGGTTGACAAAATGGATAATATTATCTATACTCGCGTCTGTTTGTCGGTTGTTTGTGTCAAAATTAGATACTGAAAGTTCTTCCCATTCTTTAATGATCATTAAGAAGAAAGCAGTGATCTCCAAAATTCTTCAGATTTTATTATAATCTGAAGAAGTCCTATACTCTAAGCTACTCTACAGGGTCAGGGCTGTGGATAACCTTGTGTTACCGCGGCATCGGCTCGATGAGCAGGTGTAGGAAACTGGGTGGTTTTTAGTCAGCAATAGTCTGACACTCCCTCTACCGTCTCAAAATATAATAATGTAATCGTCGAATGGTTGTCGGCAGGAGCGCAAGTTACGCGAGGAGTCAGTCCGCAGCGCGCGCGTGGACAGCGCCGCGCCGCCCGCCTCCGCCGCCGCCGACGTCGCGCGCCTGCAGGCTGAGGTCGACACTCTCGAGGTCATCTCCACTTACATTCTTACTTCTCAGACTTAGGTTTTAAGTCTTACCCAAAAAATATCAGCAATGCACTTGGTGTTGCGGGTGCAACCAACTAGTTTAATCAACCATTCAGTAAACTACCTAGCCGCTTATTTGCAAGAATTTAATGTTTGGCGATGCCATCTTGACAGTTTGAAGAATGTCAGCGCTAGAGGGCAAATATAAAACTAAATAGTCATCGATCCAAGTTATTTTGTATAATGTGAAAGTGTAATAATTTGCCTAGCTGAATCAGTAACTATGCTACGCTGTTTATTAAATAAGCTAGGCTGTTGATCGATCCGATAATTAAGCCAGTTAGCGCCGACGTCTATTTGAATATTTCGTGACATGGTTAAACTTGCTCTGAAAATAATAATATTATGAATACTAAATTATCTTTCATTGTAAACAGCTACAATACAAGGAATCGCTAGCGCAGCAACAGGCGCGGTTCCAGGCGGAGTTGGCCGCGCTCAATGACCAACTGCAGGAGGGAGACGCATTGCGCAATGTTCTCAATAGAGAGGTACATATTTTTTAAAGTATAAAAAACCTTTTAACATTAAATTATTGAAGTTATTGTTTTGTGGTCAAAATATCGCTGCGTTATACGTTGCACATACCCAAAAGAGAACTTAACTATTGTCAATTATAATTAATGTGCATAGTAGATATTTAAACAAAAGGCATATAGGCCTTTTGTTTTTAAATATCGATGTTATTTCTCTCAAAAAGCTGAATTTAATGTGAAATCAAGCAATGAACTTATTCCGTTTTGGAACTGTGTACTTAGTTGTTAACAATTAATTACTCAAAAACTTACCAACTATATGTCTCTTGACTCAGTCTAGCTACATCATTGGTGTCCCATAAGGTTCAACTTTAGGTCCAACGCAACATTTCTCAAACCATTTCATGAAACTATAATATTTTATTAATACTATATTAATTTATATTTTGTTACAGTTGCAAACATCGAAGGAGAAGTTAGAAAGTCGTCGTCTGGAGCAGTTGTCAGACAGTGAAGACAAACAGATGCTTATGAATGAAAACAGGAAGCTCGCTAAGGACCTCGACGCTGTGAATAGCAAAGTCTATATTTTTTACTAACATTTTTATGTAGACTTAGGTCCTTTACTAACTTGTCCCTAGATTCCGTTTAGGCGATTCAAACTAGGATGTTTTGATTATCTTGCATTTTTGACCGAGTAGACTTCAGCATAACTCTCGGGTTCAATTTCTGTATTTAGGAAAAATCCTTAGAGATTGGATTTTGTTCATGAGTACAATAAGAAGATATAGTACCTACTTCTTTAATATGGCAAAAAAGTGGTTTATACTATATTAAATATTAAGTACACTTTAGCACACCCCTTCTGATAGTAAAAATACTTCATGATTTTATAGTGCACATTGAATTTCTTACCATCACTTGATATGTTCGTTTGCCCCCTTATCCCACAAATAGAACAACTCTTCTAAACATCCTCTCTATTGCCGTCAGTTGGCAGAAAACGGTAGAAGATGGCAGGCAGAACGAAGACAGATGGAGATAGAGTTAGAAGAATTGAGAGCTAAACGAGATACCATGCAGCATTGGGAGACACAGGTCAGTGACGTAAGTTCAACCCCTACACTTTATATTTAGATTTAAACACAGTACACACCTTTTCCTGGCCCTTTTAACCCACTGGGACTGATATTGTGCAGTTAAACATTTTACTCACTTTTCCTAGTCTACCTAGAGTTGAATGAGACCATTTCGTGACTAGATTAAAGCTATATCCGGGTTTTGAGTGAATAGGGTCTTTATATAAGACCTGTAAGATATCTTCTCTATGTCATAGAGGCTAGCAGTTCAGGAATGGTATGTCAAGGGCGATGGTGATGATCAAATCAAAGACTTTTGGATCTTCTTTATATGATAAATAATAATAATTGATTGCATGAATATTGACATAGATATAAACAATTTGCACGCTTGCTTGCAGGCTGAATACAGTGACTTAGGTTATAAGATCTTTCCTGTAAACCATATTGTATTCTTGCAAATAAATATTTTGATTCGATTTGATCTCTTATGCGTCGATATTAGTCATGATGTTAGCAAAAACTTATTATGGATATATACGAACTGACAAGGTCTTAAGAATGCATGTCCCTTCACAGAATGTCCAAACCAATTCGTATAATGTCGATTTTTGCTCCAATAATCTCGTTTGACTTGTTACCGAACTATTTATTCTCATTTAATCTTCCCACTTATACCCCAATTTGGTCCAACATTGTCATTGGACAGATTTTATCCCTATCAAAATCATCGTTATTACGTAAGCAATAAAGGTTTATTGTGTACTAATTATTATTATTATTATCTGGCTCCTATAGATAGCCGACATAATCCGATGGGTGGCTGATGAGAAGGAGGCGCGAGGCTACCTACAGGCGCTAGCTACTAAGATGACTGAAGAATTGGAGTATCTTAAACATGGTGAGTTTTGAATACATTGTTTTGTTCTTTTTATGTTGTACATTGTCAAATTATGAGACACAAAAACACACCGGTTCTCGAAGAAAACATTTTACAAGAACTTAACATTTTTGACGCTTGTGTTCAGAGCAAGTTCCATTACTGAGTTGGAGATAAAGGCTTGCATTGATTTGGTGATGTTTTCACAAGGGAAAAGTAGTACATTTTGTATTACTTTTCCCTTTCGTATGCGACAGTATCCTGTCTCTACTTGACATACTTAAGTATGATATACTAATGTATGTCAAGTAGAGATACCTTTATCGCATTATGGTAGACAGCTAAACAAAAATCATCTAAAACATAAATCAACATTAAAATGTTGTCTGTCCACAGCGAGTGCCTCTCGTTCCTCGCTAGTAGTAGCGTCGTCCCCTCCGTCGGGCGGGAATGAAGCGCGCGGCACTGGCGGCTGGAGGAACCGACGCTCGCAGAAACTGGACAAGATGGAGATACTCACACTACAGTCCTCGCTGCACTCCGAGATACAGGCTAAGCAGGCTGTAGGGGAGGAATTGTCTAGGACCCGGGCTGAACTGCTCGCTAGTCAAAGGTTTGTTCAAGTCTAGTAACTTTCTATAACTATCACTTGTAATATTATGATGGAACTCGTATTCTGTTGAAGATATCTTAAAGTTTTGATAGCTTGATATGTAATAAACTTTATTCATTCATATCATCCAGCCTGTCATCCATCGGGTTAGGCAGAAATAATGAAGCACCAAATTACATGATTCTGGCATACCTTTCTCTAATTTCATTGGCCTTACATTTATTTTTCCTGGACTTAGTCTTAAACTGATTTAGCTGAGTCGAATATTTAAGATTATACTAGACTACTAGCGTAAATAAATTTACCTACATTCAATTTTATTACTTACTTCCTTCTGCCCGCGACTTCGTACGCGCAGTCCTGTTTTCTCCCGTTCCCGTAGGATTTTCAGGACATTTTCTGTCGTAAGAACCTTCTCCTGACAATAACTAACACAACAAAACAAAGATCAGCCAAATCGGTGTAGCCATTCTCTAGTTATGGCGTGACAACGGAAAACGGGTTTCATTTTTATATATATAGATCTGTGACTTACCTTAAAAGAGTTCACCATAACATTCTCCACTTTTCTCTTGCTCACGATACATTATATAAATTTTCAACTCTATCTATTTTATTCTATAGTTATATTTCGTCTTGGTGTCGGGAACCGTCCAAGTAAGCCTTTTAGTTTTGCCCAACTGATCTGTACTGATTGATATTGTTACAAACGTAAGTTTTATATTGCAACCGAATGAGAATGGGCATGGATTTTAATTCACACATTATTATGGTATATAGTAATACCAAGACATCGCTCATCCAGTTTTATAAAACCTTTTGGAATTAATACTTTACAGTACATGGTAGATACTCGTTTGAGTTTGTTATATTTTTTCCATATTTTGGATTGATAATAAACTAGTGAATTTATTGGAGTTCAAACACTTTTTTTATGGGATAAGCCGGTAAGGCGTAATCGGCGTCGCCCATGGAAACCTGAAACACCAGAGGCGTTACCGGCCTTTTGGGAATTTGAGGATTGTGGGGGATTCATGGACCTCACTCACATGGCGAAACACAACGCAAGCGAGCGGGCTCTCCCACACTTATACATATTTGGATTTGGTGCTTGATTTCATTTATTTTCTACAAGCTCCATGCATCATCGTCATAAGAGTGTGATTACCTCATTTTTTTATTAAATATGAAACGATCTTAGAGTCTTCCTATCGAATTTTGAAAGAGTGTTTAATGGATTACTGATAATTTACTTTATTTACATCATTGTACTTTAAGGGAGCACAAATAGAATAGTTCTTTTTATTCATTGATGCTCAAATACTGAAATGCTACTCAATTCTAAGTAGCGCTTAACTATAGTTCTGTCATTCCAATTCTTAAATACCAAAGATGACACGATATTTTAGTAAAACTTAAAATTGAGTAACCTTTCAGAATTCGGGTGTAAGTAATGAAAGAGTTTTATGTTAATTTCTAATGCCCGGCCACTAACCTCAACGTCAATGCCGATTATAGCGATGTTTACTACATTAAATAATTATTGCGATAATTTTAACGTGATAAAGTGGGTGGCTACACTTGAAATTTCAACGTAAATGTCCATCACGCCAAACGGCAATGTGAATGCTGTTGTCAAATTATCGCGTTGACTTGTGGCTACACCTACGGTGAACGTGCATTATCGCGATAAAAGTGTATTTTAAAGTGTTGCCACCAAATAACTGCTAAACTGATAACATAAAAATCCACAGAGAACTACTAGAAACCCGACAACGATTGGACTCCCTTGCGCACGATATGAAGCGCAAGGAGCAACATATTCGCGACATGCAAGCGAGACTCGACGCGCCGCACCAACCCGGTAACTCCTGTGAGTATTATATACACTATATATTATTATATATACGTCCCAGAAGGGGGTAAGCAGACATGTACGTGGCTAGTTGTAGTAGTAGAGAGTAATACTTTTAGTTATCATGAGGTTTCAAAATGATTGTCATAATATTTTGAAGCTTTCCGTGTTGTTCTTGGTTCTTTCATAGGAAACTGATTCTTATTAGCTTAGCTATTGGGTACTTACCAATTAGTCAAATTCAATACTTTTTTCGAACTGTCAAATACGACAGTTTTCTATGAATTTTGTACGAGATTGTGTATTGTGATGTCACGTTTTTCAACGTCAAACAACATACTTATTTCTTAAATATTTGCTGATAAAGTACTAAAATCAAGTTGCTCATTAATCAATCAATAAAAGTGTGATTAGTTTTTAAGATTTTATTGTATTGAACGGTTGAAATAATTTATTTTTGATTAAGGAAAGTACCCAATTATACGTTTGAGATCGTAACAGGAAGTGAACGCCATATTTGAGCGCCGTCACGGAGCTGTGCTATGAGCCTTATGCCGTTTAATTCCTAGTCTACAGAGAGAGTACAAAATCCAATATATAGGATTGACATAAAGTTTGACACACCAGTGTTTCATATTGATTTCTAAAACGTTATTTAATTCAACACATTAACTGTTATTGCCTACCTCGTTGGCCGAGTGGTCGCCGGTGTGACTGCCGGGTAAAGGGTACTCGGGTTCGATTCCCAGGTCGGGCAAGGAATGCTGGGTTTTTAAAAAGAATATCAGTAGTTGTACAGAGTCTGAAAGTGCGCCCGGTATATGGCAATAGGCTCATCATAATAGGGAATTACATGGGACTCATAACATAAATAGTGGAAGTAGGTGTTACATTGTACAGTGGCATTAAGTGCCATAATGTGCACCTCTATCTATCTTCTTGGGGACAAAAGGCATGATGATATTTATTTGTTAATTATTATTTTAAACGTATTTTATTAGTGTTTATTGTAGTATACTTTAGACAGGTATGCCAATGTTATTGCGCTACTGTTACGCTTACCCCCAATGGGATTATTTGGGACATTGTATTTTATGTTTTTTACTAAATGGGAGTTGAAAAATGGCTTGTGTACTTGCTCACGCGCATCACTGTTGTGGCACAGTCCCTTGGACAATGTAATTATCACGCTTCGGTTTACACTGTAGGTTTTGGGGTTCGAATCTGTTTTGATGATTTTAAATTGTACTTCAAGAATGTTTAGTTACCTTTTTCAACTCCTAATATAAGCTATAAAAGTGGGAAGTATCTGAAGTGCTAATTATTTTTTAAATAGTGTGTAACGGTATAATTTTTCAGTTATATCTCTGTAAAATATTTTCGAAATAATTAAAAGATACTTCCGAAACACGTATCTTTAAATGTATAAGCACTAATAATAATAATGTTTATTTAGTGCACCATTTCTTTTTGTTTTCGTTACATGTTACCGCACATTCCTACCCTATACACAACTTTCTGAAAATGAAAAATACCGCCAACCTCACTTTTACTGCAATTTTACCGACAACGGAATCTTGGCTCCCACCTCAAAGTTCAACGTCGACCGCGACGAAAAAAACGGAAATAATGAACTTTAAAAAAAAACAATGCACGTCACTATTTTGTCTTTTGATTGCGAAAATATGTGAATATGGACTCTAATTGTGAACGAAATTGGAACTGTGATTTTATATTCCAAAAAACTTTTTTTTATAAAAAAAAAAATTGTTAACGAAATTTTTTATCTGTCCGGAAAATTTTTGCTTTGTTTTTTTTTTTGTCTTAACGAACATGTATTATCTGTGGCATTTAATGTTTTATTATAATTCTAAATGCGTCTAACGCTCTTTTTTATCTGTTTTTAACTACGTATTGGTGTATTTTTCTCGTGTTTTTTTTTTATTGTGCTGTTGGTATTTTTTTAATATTAGTTCGAGTTTGGTTGAGGCGCAACATACCTCTTTTCATAGGCGTGACGTCATGTATATGGGGTGTTGCCATTCTTGTGTACCATCATATATACCCCTGATATTTATATAGATTTCTATAGCCACTTTAATTTGATGCAACTATTTATTACTTTTATGTTAGTTAAAAGTGCTATAAGTACTGTGGCGTCATCATTTTACAGCTTTAATTATTTGAAGTGGAGCAGTTGGCCCAGTGTTTATTTTTTGAGCTCGATATCCTAATTTCTGTGTTAATGTCATGTATCGATGTGCTTGCATGAAACAAACTGAAATTAGTCTTAATGTTATATTCACATTTGTCCTATTCATTTCATTTTTTCAAACACTTGTCGGAAATAAGGCAGCTAATAAAATAATAAAGTTTATGGTTAACTTTGAAATGATTGTGTCTCGTGGCTATAGATATCAATAATTAAATTTAAACTTGAAAGGATTCAATGATATTTATGAAAATTTTATAAAATTATTTTAGACAAAATTATGACATTGAAATTTAGTGCTCAAAATTATAATTTTTATGATAATTTTACTCCAATGAGGACTATCTGTTACGTGATCGATTGATGGCCATAGTGTAGATTTAGGTCATATACGTCCAATTATTGCAGCTTTAAAAGTTTAATGATCAAAAAGCTTGTCATGATAATTCTCTAATAATCTATAGACCTTGTACTACATTAGCGCCTCTAGCGGCAATTTCTGGCACTAGTCCATAATTTTGATATTATTTACAGTAATCTCACCAAAGTATAATCATTTCTAGTCTTTGAAAATTAGTCTAGTCGAAAACGTTGATTGCCAAAGATATTTTAAACGATAGTGTTGTACCCCAACCGATCGAACTAGTCATTACAATCGATATCGATACGGTTTTCTATTTTATTTTAATGTCCATTTGAAGTAACATTGGATTTTAATAAGTAAACAAAATAATGTGATTCTAATTCAATTTGTGCTTATTTTATTTACTCATAAGTCAGAAATCACCTGTCGTTTTTGTACTAGCGTGGTGATTAACAATTTTTCCTCTATACGAGAGGCCAGCTCAGCAGTAATGAAGACAAGCTGATGATTGTAATTATTCTGCATTTACACTCATAGCATACAGAACAAATTCCTTATTGTAACTGCAAGAGTAGAACTTGAATTATCTAATGTTATTTCGAATGGATTATATTGTTAATAGGCGATGATAAAAACCGATAAACGCTAAAGTATTTTTTAAGGTTTTAGCGAGAATAATGCTTGTTTTTTTAATGTATGCATTGGTTGAAGTATGTTCCATTTGTTATACGTACGTAATTTCCCAGTAAGATGTTAAATATTATACCAACCATCGTGTCTCACTTTTATAACTTTTTTTTTTTTGTAAAATATCAAGCAATCGTCTCGATGTTACTGTTCGAATGGAATCAATAATCGATTACCTAAAATACTGACAGCACAATGAACAAATTTTTTTATTTTATTTATTGTTTAGTGTAAGTTTTTCTTTTAGATCAGTTGTAGAATCTCATTGAGTTTGTTTTTTTTTATTAATGTTATGTTTTAAGACCGTATAGTGCTTTTTTGAACAAATTATTTAATTTACATCTCGAGTGTCGGTATTTGAGACATAATGGAAAATACATTGTGTATCGCGTAGATCTACGGTCCGGTACCACGGGTTAAAGGCAGCTACAAACAATGATAATTTTGTCTAAGATACGTGCTTCGTTTATCTAATAAGTCGTCTGACACATCAACCGTCTCTAATAAAAGGGTTAATCATAATTTCCGAGCTAAATAGGTGTGTTGGGCGTCATAGTTTGGGAGGTTCAGGTTTATCACAACCTGCTGCTGTTTCCCAGATCCAGTTTGTTTGTTCAAAAGTTTAAAAGTTCAATCCCCAAGCGGTCTCCGGTAACTCCATTATAGACCTTATTTCCGATGTTTAGAGACTACTTATGTATGAACAAATTTATGGTACGATATATCAACGTGTATTTAAAAAAGGTCCATACATACGTGCGGTCTTAAAACGTAACATACGGACTCATTTTTTTATATTTTTTTTTGTTTTAAGTTATTGTCAGCACATTTAATCTGCATTTAACGTGTATTTTATGTTTATTTGTTAGTTTTATTTTATGTCATGTCACTCCGTGCATCACTGTATTTTTACGTAAACTGTGTACATTGTTTTTTTGTACATAAGTTATTAAACAATCTGTTTTAATTTATTTTTTTGTTATTTATTTTCTGTTTAGTTGGGTTTTATGTATTAATTTTTTTTATGTTGTGATTTTTATTTGTCGTGGTTGAAATAAAAGAGGGTTGATTGCCATTTTGCCGTGCATTGTCGTTTAGCATGTTATAAAGATTAAACTGGGTCATAACATTTTTATACGAGACAATGTCATGAAAAAGTAGCCCCATCTTCTCAATGGAGAATATTACTGTAACGTAAAATTGAGAAAGTACCTACGCATTTGTATCTCAAATAACTTGACTAATAATGACCTACCTACTACCTTTCACTATATTTAAAAAAATACAATGTATCAGACGTTGTGGTATGACGTCACAGTACAATGTAATTTTTGTATAAAACTGCAAGTTATCACAATTTTGAACGCATATATTTCGGCCAATTTGGTCGTACGACAAAACTAAGTACATAACTACGTACACAGATCAATTCGTAACATAGAGGACTTAATAGCTCCACATCTTTCTAAAAACGTTAACATTCTCCATTCTAAAAATAAAAAGTAGAATTATAGAGTACACAATAATCTAAACCCCAAAAAATCAACATCTTGGCGATAAAGTCATTGAAAATTAAACTTTATCACAATACAATTAAAACACTAAGTTATGCGCAAGCAGCCAGGCAAGGATCGGCGAAATCTTCAAGTTACTGGAGTGGCAAAGAAGAGAATGGTTCGTTTATCATGATATTAGCTAAACATTCCTATTTAGAAGTAGATTCATCGTATGTGACCGTGGTAGAGGTGGCCGATTGCGAATATTATCGATATCGATATTAATTGCATCGTTTTAGTATTGGTTTTGGGTTAGTTTTTATAACGAAAGCTTTAACTGTGAAAAATCTTAAAAATTATCAGAAGAAGTAATCTAAGGTAGACTGACAGAGAATGCCTAAGGCATTAAGTCCGCCTTATACATATAAGAAGTATTAATCAAATAATCTTTCTCTGTTTTTGATAAAAAAAAAACAAAACTTTAATGATTTAAAAATACAGTTGATATAACACTAAAATTGATTTCAATTCAACGATAAATTAACTGGTGGTTCATAAAAAAATTATCGATAAATATAATGTTATGTTATTCGCAATCGTACATCACTAGACTGTGTGTTATTTTGTCCCTGTAACATTATCTGTTGTTATATAAAAGCTTCGCTGTCAATAACGTTCTCCTTTCATTACCTATGCTTCAGAAACAATCTTGGGGCGATTGGTTTATTAATTTAATTAACATTATTAAGAAAAAAAAAAATTATCTTAAAAAAATAACAGTATTTTTCTGTTAAAGTACAGTTCGCGTCAAAAGTGTTATTGAAAAAATATCTATTTTTTTTGTGTGTCTATTTCTTAATGGTAACGACAGATATTGTTAATTTTTTATCTAAAGGTGTAAGTTTTTTAGTATTTGTGCTGCGTACGTAGTTTTCTATCGATTAGTTTCATTTTGTCTATGATATGTCCATTGTAAATACGAGCAAGTGTAAAGGGAATATGTTTTTCTCTAAATTTCATTTCATTATGTCACTGTTTTGTGGGTCCTTTGTCGATTTGGCTAACATTAAAAATTATTTTGTTTGGATTTTTAATAAAATAATAATAAAAAAGAGATGGATCTTCTTAAAAATTTACAATCAATTTGTGACCTCTTTGTTCTAGAAAACACATGTTTACGTGTGGTTTTGGTTTTTGCCATTCAAATTAACGCTAAGTTATGAATTAAAACTCCAAAACAGTGACTTACAAAATTTTGTTGAAAATTATTATGCAATATGAAACGATTCTTCTCTTATTGCAAATCGCTTCGCTTTTGCTTGAGCTTGTTGCGGTGGCGTGGTGTGAAGAAAGCCTTCGATACCAAGTACTCAATTCCCTAAAGCATCCATTGCTCCATTGGCGATAAAAAACTTCAATAACTGTAAAAGGTATTGAAGAAAATCGTCAATGTACATCGAAATTGTGTACTAAAATGGTTTTTCTGAATCGTCCAAGTCACCACATAATGCCCTAAGCGATTGGTTTTTCCTTTAACACTTGTTTGTATACGCACTATAGGTATTTTTTGACTAATCTTTTTTTTATTTATTTGTAACTTGTACTTTCGACCTTAGCATCTTTTTATTTGTAAACCTTTTACGTCAGCACACGAGTTGACATTTTAAATTTAAGTTTAATTTATTAATTTTAATTAAATTTAAGTTTTTAGTAGATTTAAACCGCGACACTCGATCTATAATAAGGGATGCAATAGCTTTGAAATATTTGAAACTTAATGACCGTTTCTTGATCGGATGATCACATGAAGTTGATTTGTCTTTCAGAAGCTCTTCCAGAAATGGGGATATACCTTTTAAAAGTGCTTCAAGTTGTTCGTCTACATTGGCTATTATTATTTGAGCCATTATTGTAAATATTTTGTGTAAATAACAAAATGTCCTCGTGTGCTGAATGGGAACAGTTGTACAGCGTCCATTGTAAGCGTCTGAAGTGCATGTCCTTAGTCCCGGTTTTGTATTGACTAAAATGTGATCATGTACAGTCGAACACAAAACTTGTTAATAACGTCGCAATACTAGCCATTTCGAATATTTATGAAAGGTCTTTTAAAAAACCGGCAAAGCATCGGATACTCCTCTGGAGTTCCGATAAGTAGCACTGAATGCTTACCATCAGGTGACCGCTCGCTCGTTTGCCGCCCTATCCCACAAAAAATAAAAATCATTTTTTTTTATAACAACTATCGTGAGACTTTCTAAATTAACTAAAAATCGCGGGCTACTCACGTGAAAATACTGAGAAAAGCTCTACTAATTTCTAGTTTCTTCTAGTTCTAAACTAGTAGTGCTTTTCTCAGTAATTCCATGTAAGTAACCCGCGATTTTTAGTTATTCTAAAGTCTGTTGTAAAATATCTTAGTTTAATTTTTTAAACTTATAAAGCACGTTATATTTTTGTGCTCGACTGTACACAAAAAGAAAACATTACTTTCTAATAAGTTGTACCGTTTTATTTTTAATAATAATTACTGTTTTGTGAACGTGGTTTGGGTTGGGATTGGTTTATGTGTTTTTCATTATATTTACATAATATTATTATATCTTTATAAAACATTCCCCTCTTATAATAATTCAGAGAGTCACTTCATACTCGTATTATATTTCCTTACTTATATTTATAGGTTTTCGTTTCCAAAAATAACTGTTAATTTTGTATATATATACATATATATAAACCTTGATGTTACATTTACTATGAAATAAGTATCTCCCACACAAACACGGTTGGAGAGTAAACAAACATTTTGTGAAGGATACAAAGGGCTAAGTACGATTGGTTTATTCATTCGAGTAGGCCAATCAGAGCGGTGAACGCGGTCTCATTTTGATTGTCACAGTATTAGGATACCTACACAGGTACCTAAAATTCGTCTTTATCTTATCAACGTTAATTTTGGAAACGAAAATCTAGAACCAAACCCATCTTTTTTTTACTTTTTAACTAACTATTTTTATAACAATTTTCAGTTTTGGATCGACCACCGTCTCAGATGAGCTACTTAGACCAATTCCTCAAGGAAGCGCCGACGGAACGGCACTACGATAACGTGGCTACTATCAACGAGCAAAAGGTTGGTTTTAGCTTAACATGTATCTGTACATAATACGTTTATAACAACGCTTTGTCATTTGTTCATTTCATTTTCTTTTTGTTTGGGTGTGTTCCAATATTTTGTTTACATAACATAATAAACAAGGTGTAGTTTTGAAGCCGTGTCATTTCTCGGGCGCGTGTCACAGAAGTCATAAAGATTCAATGTAAGAGAAAATTTCGGGCCAATAGTTAAAAATACGGCTATAATAAATCGTTTAAGTTGGACAGTATTTCAGAATAAGTGACAGCAATGGTTCTTATTGGAGTTTTATGGAATTACGAAATTATTCGTAATTCCATAAAACTCCAATAATATTAATGAAAGAAAGAAAGAAAAAAAAAAAACATTTATTCAGCACGTGCTGCACGTCAGCACAGCACAATATCAATTACGTGTTTGAGTTTGTGTGTGTTAAGCCGCGTTATAAAGCTAGTTACAAGACTGTTGTTTTGAATATTAACAATGTGTTGTAGTAAGTTAAGGTACTGGTGCTGCCATCTGTTATGTATGACGTTAACTATTCTTTTGAAATAAAAGTTAGTAGTACCTTGTCAACCAACGTGCGTTGTTTAATTATAAAGACGGCGGCGTGTACTTCGCACTTACGGATTTCCGTAATTTCAGAAAAATTATAAATATTTACCCAATTTTTTTATTGATTCGGACACAGAATCGATATCCTAGTTACTTCCTAGAAAATGACGCGGCTTTAAAACAACACCTTGTATATCATAGATATATTATTCAAGACTTAATCATTTGATTTTACAAATTAGACAATAGGTCATTTTTATACCATTGACTTAACAAGACAATATTTTTAACTGTGTTAAATGGTGTTTAGGTTTTATTTCGGTTACTGGAATATGCTCACAGCTTAATTTTGTGACTAATTATAAGGTGAAAGTTTATGTTTTTGAATTGTTACACTGTATTTTGTCACTTGTCTGTGTTCTTCAAGTCATTTGACTGGATTTGAAAATCTAAAGTGGTGTTTAGAGCATTAGAAAAGTTGTAATGAATATTACAACGCACCTACTATAATATATTCTACCAATGCTTAATACATAAGCGTATAATGTGCCGGTAATACCGCATAATCTTTATATATATAATTCTACGGTACGTGTATTTCATTGAACTCCTCCTAAACGGCTTGACCGATTTAAATGAATTTTTCTGTATGCGTTTAAGTGGATAGTGTAGATTCACAAATCAGCCCGACAGATGGCGCTGCAGTCGATATCTCGGCTATTTATCTATAGCTGGAATACTGAAACGTTACTCAATTTTAAGTCGTGCTTAAATATCGTGCCATCTCTGTCATTTTACAAAGAATTAGTGGTGACAGAACTATACTTAAGCGTGACTTAAATTTGAGTAACGTTTCAATATAATCATAGGTACCTATTATTATATTATATGCAGAACAACGTCAGTCGGGTCCGCTAGTATTAAATTACCAATATAAAGATATTATACTTATTCTATCAGTACATGTCAAAACTCCACATGTCACAGTGTCTTTTATGATAAAATTCAGTGTAACAATAAAATCATGCAAGCTTTTTTTATTTTTATGTTGCCATTTTGTTTTTGTTATCTGTTACTCGCACAGATGTCGCCGCAGTACCGATACAGGAACCAACATTGTTGTAATGCGAAGGTATTGTTTTATCTTTATATTTATTATATGTTCTTTATTATTTCTTAGATATTTGACTTGTCGATTGAGCCAATTGGTATCCGAATAAGCAATAACAAAGAAATAGTGCTTTAGTACTACTTCTTTTTAAAACGTTGCCCCATACTAGAGTTTTCTCCTGTATCGTGGGTGCGTTAAAAAACATAGAAGTTCACAAACATATGACACCCAGACCCGGAACAACAATCTGTGGATCACACAAATAGTTGCTTCGTGTGGGAATCGTTACACGCTGCGCGGCAGCCGGTTGTCCAGCCACCGTGCCAACCGTCCACTCTGCCATTTGAATATGAACCATCATAATTTCATTTGGTGAAGGAAGTCATTTAACTTGGTTGCTTTTGTGTCATAATCATCAACACTAACTCTCGTGTTTAAAATATTCGTTCTTTTACTATAATAAATGTTTACCGTAATACTTAATTGTAAAAAGTAATAGAAACCTATTTTAGGAACAAATTGGACACTTTTTGCGGTGATTGTACTTCTATTGGACCAGAATAAAGTAATCCGAATAAATAAAGTCAATTTTTTTTATAAAATAATGTCTAAATTCTTGTTTTAAATTACGAAAGAAAAATGTATTAGATCTTTCATGGGTACATAAAATATAGGTGTCAACAAAGTTTACAGTTTCTCCATATTTTGCCTTCACTTGGCACGCAAAGATATGTTATAAAAACAATCTATAATAAAATTATGTCCATTGAATCTTTATTAAAAATACATTAGTATTTACCAAATTTTTTCCAAAGTTCTTTTAGTAATTTCCTAATATATTATTATATCACACAGTTAATGTACGGCTCCCAACAATCGGCCGCATTGAGTGGGTCGGTGGAACTACAGGACGAATTGGAAGGGCCTCGGGCGTCCTCACCGGCCTCCAGCAAGAGTTCCCCTAGTGAAATATCCACAGTTAGTATGGTAAGTGAATTATTTTTATTTTTAGCCATGATCGTTTCACTACAGGGCAAAGGCAAAGATTGGACAAAAAGTTTTTATAATAATTATCGTGAGACATACTAAGTTAAGTAAAAACGCGGGTTACTCACGTGAATATACTGAGTGGCGACGTCGTCGCGACCGCGCACGCTGCTCATGAGGAAGAACCCCTCTGTGGTCCGAAAGTAGTAGAGCTTTTCTCAGTATATTCACGTGAGTAACCCACGTTTTTACTTAAGTCTTCGATCAACAATAACAACTAGATATCGGGTCGGCGCAAGAAAATCGTCTCGACAAATAAGAGCTCACTTGAGAAGTGAGCTCTTATTTTGTTTAGTTCGCTCCAAACATGGCCAACGTGCTCACGTCTCACGATGCCGCAGTGCGTAATTGCAATTTACAAAAATAATAACCGAAAAAGCAGTATAACGGCCGGAGTGTCTTACTTACGATAAGTCCATAAAGTATACGTTATATTTTAAGCTTTTAAACTAGTAAATAATGGAAGCGTTTTACCTACCAATAAAACGCATATTAATTTACTTACCTTATTCGAAGCTTATTTAATTGAGATAGGCCTTCCGCTTCCCTCCTTCCTCTTTTCCTGTATGTCTATCTCTTTCTACTACGTCACTTCCATTTGGCAGTGGTGGGGAGGCTTGCTAAGAGAGACTCGCCATTTTTATTTCATTGAGTCTCATTACCAGGCAGAGCTTGACTATAAGCTTCGAATAAGGTAAGTAAATTAATATGCGTTTTATTGGTAGGTAAAACGCTTCCATT